TAGATAAATGAACTGATGGATGGATGATAAATGGAATGATGGATGGCTAGATGGAATGATCCATGGCTAGATGGAATGATCCATGGATAGATGAACTGATAGATGGATGGAGTTTTAGTGGGTGAGTTTAGTTATACCCTGCACTCAGCAATATTCCAGCTATATGGCGGCTTGGATAGATGGACGGGCTGATGGATGGACTGATGGATGGGAAGACAGCCCAAAGTGATGCAAGATGTTTACCTCTTCAGTGAAATCCATGAGCAAGAAGCTAGGATTTAACCCTACAATCATAAGTTTCTTGCTTGCCAGGGTGACATATCTCCACACAGTGAGCTTTGGTACCTTTGATGACTGGGTCACCTGTGTGAGTTGTATGAGTATTTGGGCACTTATAAGTTGTTGTAAAAGTAGACAGTTGAACCCCCTGAGCATATACTTAGCTTCTTTATTGCTGGAATTAAGATTTGAAATGTATGATTGCTGAAATTATTTATTTGTTAGTTGGGTTGGATCATAGTAATTTTCTAGTGCTATTTTCCTGATGGCATTGTTTCATCATATCAACAAGTGTTTGTTTGTTGTGTTGGATTAAGTGGAATGAAAGAAGTTTTCTGGTGCTATTTTCCTGATGGCATTGCTTCATTGTATCAACAAGTGTTTGTTTGTTGTGTTGGATTAAGTGGAATGAAAGTAGTTTTCTGGTGCTATTTTCCTGATGGCATTGCTTCATTGTATCAACAAGTATCAGATCTAAATGACCTTTTTGTATATCACTTTCATCGAAAAGATTAGAGTGTAAATTGCATTCTCTCTTTATGTAGGACTGTATGCAAACTGTCATGGCAATGTAAAAAGAATACAATCAACAGTGGTCATGTGTCTATGTGTTATAAATTGTGTGAGTAGTATCAGCAATAACAGGAAGGATCTGTACATCCTGGTGTAATGTCACTGAATATCACTTCCCTTTCGTATATTTTCAAACCCTAATAAAAAGATTTCCCCTGAAACGTTTGCCCTTCCTCTGCAATCTGATGACTGCTGCATGTTTACTCATGTTTACTCATGTTTATCAGCAAGCAGACGTCCAACTCTCAACACATTTCTATGGGCTGAATGCCTCTCAGTTTGCTAGTAAAAAAAATTGATGTGCTGTACATCGTTGAAAGGACCAGCCTTAAATACATACAAGGCCAGATTTAGACAAACTGAAGTGTGTGTGTTGAACAGTCAACGTAGATCTTCTTTCGTGGAGTATGTTATCTGCAGGGTTTCACTTCCCATTGACGACTGGATCAGTGCAGGTTAAAAACATCCTAAGTTTATGTGCAGCCTACGCTGTGTGCAGTCTGTATGATATTCCACAAGGAGGATAATAAAATATGGCCTGCTTCAAATTTATATTATGGATTGAACATCTGAACAAGGTGATATATAATTACTTCCCATTCATATTCAAATCCAATTAATGTACTCTTGATCAAATGAGAATGCTTTTATGCTGCTTTTAGCGATATTCCAGCAATATTATGTTAGGGACACAAGAAATGGGCTTCACACAGTGTACCCATGTGGGGGCAATGAACCCGGGTCTTTGGCGTGACGAGCGAACACTTTAACCACTAGGCTACTCTACTGCCATTACATGCTCTTCAGGACCCGTGAAGATCCGGGGTAGAATAGGTCTTCAGCAAACCATGCTTGCCACAAAAGGCGACTTAGTAATGCTTGTCGTAAGAGGCGACTAACGGGATCGGGTGGTCAGGCTCGCTGACTTGGTTGACACATGGCATCGGATCCCAATTGCGCAGATCGGTGCTCATGCTGTTGATCACTGGATTGTCTGGTCCAGACTCGATTATTTACAGACCGCCGCCATATAGCTGGAATATTGCTGAGTGTGGCGTAAAACTAAACTCACTCACTAACTCACTACATGCTTTTCAGATGGCCAGTCATCGTATAGCGTTTGCCATGATTAGAAAATGGATGCAGGGTGTAGGGATCTTTGAAATAACATCATTTAATTTCTACAACTGATATGTTCTCAGGGTGTTACCTCAACTCACAAACATGGGGGTCCACTGGACCCCCAATTATTAGTTTTAAGGGTCCTTGCAGGCAATATGAGGGACCTGTGAAGTAATGATGTAGAGAACTGTGTGTTTTGTATTGGAATGAATCATTGATCATGTGGACTGATTTATAAAATGATGCATGTAACCACTCTGAAAGTAACAACCAAACACTTGGCAAAGTCATAGATGTGTTGTGGGTATAGTGAATAATATTGTGAGTCCTTTTCTACAATCTCTACATTTGATTGTGCCGGTCGCACATTTCTTGGACGCGTAAAACCCTGTTATATTTTGAAAAATATGAACTGTTGACGCTAATAACGTCTTGAGGATGTATTTGTTTTGACCTTGTGCTGCAGATCTGTGCACCTAGGTAAGCTCATTGTGGTTTGCCCAGGCATGGTAAATTACTTTCTCTTAGACCAACACACCAACAGTTGAACATAAACACCTGATATTGACAATTCTCCACTACATTTGACACACATTCACATATAATCCTCTGAGGATATCACACAATCATCCCAATAGCATAGAACCATTTGCAGAACTTTGAAAGTGTTCATCTGGTGCTGTGTGAGAACAGCTTGGGTGAATGTTGGGGAAGAGGGTAGCCTCTGCCTTGGCCAACAGCAATTTTCTGATGACTTAACAATAGCTGCCTATTTACACAACTAGCCTAGCAGCCTACTGGCATGACCCTTGCAACATCCTAACGTGACACCATCAACCTGCTAGTCACTAGCTTTGTGCTAAATAGAGATTAATTTTTATGTGGTAAATCTGATTTAGTTCATTCCTGTTGGTTCTACAAATTATGATCTTGCAAGAGGTGGGTAATAATGTTTTGATTGTGAACTTTTAAGCCAACTTGCGCCTGCTGTGTGATCTAAATGTAATGAATGGTTTTAAACTAATGTCAAGACAGTGAGAAATCATAAATAATAATAATGCAATAATAACAATAACATAAAGTAATAACAATACATAAAGTAATAACAATAACATAAAGTAATAACAATTACATAAATAACAATATACATAAAGAAATAACAATACATAAAGTAATAACAATAACATAAAGTAATAACAATACATAAAGTAATAACAATACATAAAGAAATAACAATACATAAAGAAATAACAATACATAAAGAAATAACAATAACATAAAGTAATAACAATAACATAAAGTAATAACAATACATACATAAAAGTAATAACAATAACATAAAGTAATAACAACAATAAGTAATAACAATAACATAAAGTAATAACAAACATAAAGTAATAACAATAAAGTAATAACAATACATAAAGTAATAACAATACATACAAAAGTAATAACAATACATAAAGTAATAAAAATAACAATAACATAAAGTAATAACAATTACATAAAGTAGTAACAATAACATAAAAAGTAACAATAACATTAAAATAAAATAAATAAATAAAGTAATAACAATAACATAAAGTAATAACAATACATAAAGTAATAACAAACATAAAGTAATAACATAAAAGTAATAACAATAACATAAAAGTAATAACAATAAAAGTAATACATAAAGTAATAACAATAACATAAAGTAATAACAATTACATAAAGTAATAAACAAGTAACAACAACATAAAGTAATAACAATAACATAAAGTAATAACAATTACATAAAGTAATAACAATAACAATAAGTAATAACAATAACATAAAGTAATAACAAAGTAAACAACAATTACATCAAGTAATAACAATAACATAAAGTAACAACAATTACATAAAGTAATAACAAGTTAACATACATAAAGTAATAACAATACAAAAATAACATTACATAAAGTAATAACAATAACATAAAGTAATAACAATACATAAAGTAACAAACAAAGTAACAATACATAAAGTAATAACAATACATACAAAGTAATAACAATAACATAAAGTAATAACAATACATAAAGTAATAACAATTACATAAAGTAATAACAATACATAAAGTAACAACAATACATAAAGTAATAACAATAACATAAAGTAATAACAATACATAAAGTAATAACAATACATAAAAATAACAATAACATAAAGTAATAACAATAACATAAAGTAATAACAATAACATAAAGTAATAACAATAACATAAAGTAATAACAATAACATAAAGTAATAACAATAACATAAAGTAACAGCAAATATCAGTCAGTTCAGTTACAATAGAAGGTTCGATCCTTAGATGTGTCACAGGTGGGCTCGATCCCGGCTCCTCAAGTTTACTGGATCACTAGCCTGGCGCCTTAGACAGCTCGCCTACAATGCCCCCGTATAATGATAACAATGATGCATTGTAATAACAATAACATAAAGTAATAACAAATGTCAGTTATGTTCAATTAGAATAGAAGGTTTTGTTGAAAAATGTGTCATACTTAGAGATGTTATTTGTTGTTGCCCTGCCTGGTGCCTCACTTAAGGGAATGATGTCTTGTGTCAGTGTACAGTGTGTGAGAGGAGTATATATGTTAGACTGGATCTGTGGTATCTTATTGGAGCTACCATATAAAACAGTTATTAGTCTGAGCACCGTTTCACAAAGCTCTCGAAGGCCTAAGATCTCGTAACTTTTCTCGTAGCATTCGTACCTCCTATGTTACAGTAAAGCAGGTACCAATGCTAAGAGAAAAGTTTCGAGATGTTAGGCCTACAAGAGCTTTGTGAAACGAAGCCCAAGACTACAACAAGCAACCTCTGTGTGACACACACACAGATGCAAACATGCACAGACACATGCATGCACACACCCAGACAGATAGCAGACACATGCATGACACACATGAACATTGTTGTATAACTGCATTATCCTTGAATGCAATTTAAAACCCCATTACACCCCCTTTACACTATGAATGTTCTTTTTCCAGAGACGCCCCTGAGAACACAGATGGCAATGACACCGATAATGATGTCTTCCGTAGCGGTTCCGAGTCCCCCCAGTTCACACTTCCTGTAGGTGTTGACCCCAAACATCGCCGCGCCACAGTGAGTGGAGGGTCACCAACATTAGAGCGACCCTCATTGGTCATACAAGACCTTGACCCTCCCACAAGGCCAAAGTCACAGTTTGTTAACTCTGCGGAGAAGGAGGCAGCAATGGCTGCCCTGGCAGCCTCAGAGAACAGACTCGGCGTGGCCAAGATCTGGGACGACAAGTCCAAGGAGATGTCGGAACTCACAGCCAGCGAGAGTCAGCAGAGAATTGAGAAATTTGCAGCCAAAGTGAGTCAGAATATGACAGTAGATTCGCCATCGTCCACTACAGAGTCTCCACAAGCATCAGTGTCTGAAGGTAAAATACCACTCACAGTGGTGTAGATCACCAACTGAACTTATAGCTTTATTATATTGCTTCATCTGTTATTGGACTGACTGCAAAGGGAACTAATCTTTAGATTGATGTTTGAACAGAACACAATTATCCAACGGACGTAACACAATTATTCAGCTGACAGAACCCTGTGAGCCTTCATACTCACCTATGCTCACTGTACAGCAGCCGAGGGTGAAAATAGACATATTGTAACCATGGCAACATGATGATTGACAAAGACACAAATACAGTCATTTCATACTCTGATTCCAAAAGTATATCCGCTTTTACGCCGCTTTTAGCAATATTTCAGCAACATCACGGCGGGGGACACCTGAAATGAGCTTCACACATTGTACCCCATGGGGATTCAACCGGTCTTGGAGGAGGCGAGCCAACGCTTTAACATCTAGGCTACCCCACTGCCCCTTCATCTGTTATTGGACGCAATGGGGTAGCATAGAGGTTAAAGCGTTCGCTCGTCACGCTGAAGACACGGGTTCGATTCCCCACATGGGTACAATGTGTGAAGCCCATTTCAGGTGTCCCCTGCCATAATATTGCTGGAATATTGCTAAAAGCGGAGTAAACCTTATCTCACTCACTCCCTCATCCCTCAGCTGTTATTATTGGAATTACCCTGTAAGGTAGGGCTGTGTATTGACAAATAACCTGCGATAAATTGTGATCCAGGTCTTAGGAATGGCTATCAATAGATCATTGAGATCAATAACCGTTGACTAAATATCGATTGATTATTGATAAATATCTGAGAGATAACTGAGCAAAATTGCTATAAGAAAGTCTTAAAGAAATGAATATACAGTCAAATCCCAATGAGTCGAATCTCTGGGGACCAAGTAATAAATTCAACTTATTGATGTATTCGAGACATAGGTATGTCTATGAGGGTAGAAAAAAAGATGATCCAGTCCTAATTCCTCCGCCTAAGCATTTGTTTATCTAATGATTTCCCTGTCACAAATAGGGGCACCTTATCAGTTCCAGTCTGATTAGCACAGATAGTGATTTTCCTAAAATCACTAATCTGCCTTTTGAACTCACCCGTCAAAGGCGGAAAGGTGTGAGCCGCCGTGGTTTGTTAATTGGATCAGTTTGCTACACCAATCAACTTCTCATTGACTGACTTCGGCTTATGTATACAAGATTGCTGTTGTTTGAATCTCATGGGACCAAATTTTCTTCTCTAGTCATCGTGTGTATTTATGAGTCGAATTCGTGTAACCGGTATTCAAATGATGACAACTATAAAAGGGAATGGTCAGGACCGACAGGTACTTCGAGTTATGCATAATATTCGAGACACCGGCATTCGACTCATTGGGATTTGACTGTATTTCAAACTCATCACATATTTCAAACTCATCACACCGAAGACCCGGGTTCGATTCCCATATGGGAACAATGTGTGAAGGCCATTTCTGGTGTCCTTGCCGTGATATTGCTGTAATATTGCTAAAAGTGGCGTCAAACCCCTCTCACTAACTAACTCACACACTCACTCACAGAGAAGTCTTATGTCTCCAGATTCCCCCGAGACTGTTGAAACCCCAGACCAGAAGTCTGTAGAGGTTCGTCGCCAGGAGTTCCGGGTGACCAAACCCACCCCCCACGTTCTAGAGAACCCATACATGTCAGTTGAACGTCCATACTCCCAGTCCAAGGAGGTCGTGTCAGAAGTAGCCACAGACAACAATGCACGTGACCAACCCAAGCTCATGAAGATAAAACGTATTGATTCATCTACCCGATCAGAGGTACGTGGTGGAGCTGTATTTGATTTTGAGTTATATTGTAGACACAGTGCTAGGTTCCCATTGAGGCTTGGTTCCAAACTGATAAAAAATATCCAATCATCCAAAGACTGGTGTCAACGAAATGTTTTCTAGATCAAAACAACGTAACAGGATGGGAAATCTCAACTATGACCTTTTGTTATTCTTTTTTGATAATGCAACACAATTTTGGAATACATTATTCCTGATGAAATAATACTTTTAGATACAATTCTTCCATTCATTTTGTGACCGCCTCCGTGGTGTAGTGGTTAGAGCGTCTGCCCGGAGAGCGGAAGGTCGCAAGTTCGATCCCCGACCGCGTCTTACCAAAAGACGTTAAAATATGGTACTTGTTGGTTCCTGCCTGGCGCTCAGCATTAATGGGTACATCAAGGACTGGTCGGCTCGGAGTCCGTATAATGTGTCTGAGTGGGGTATTCATGCTTCACTGCGGCATGGTATCTCAGTGGGCTAGCATTATAAAACCAGCTTCAGTCTGGGCTAGTACAAGCAGCCGCACATACACATACACACGCATGCACATCGTCATATGAGCGAAATATTCTCAAGCACGACGTTAAACCCAATTTCACCTCACCTCACCTCCATTCATTTTGTCACAGTTCTTGGAAGTTACATTATTGGGTCATTTGAAACGATTCACCAAGAGTGAATAACAACTGAGATGATGCTGCATTGTGGATGATGATGATGATGATGATGATGATGTTTCCGTATTGCAGGAAATCAAATTAAAGGAAGAACAAGGTTCACCGAAGGAGAAGAAACATGTTGGTTTTGCCGCCGACTGTAAGGAGGAGAGTGAGGAGAGCGTGAGGTGAGTAACTGAGGTCAGGATTCAACATCACCACGATGAAGATGCAACCTGTGACGATCCGGGCTAGAACTGATCTTCAACAACCCATGCTTATCCAAAGAGGTGACTAATGGGTTTGGTGGTCAGGCTTGCTGACTTGGTTGGTTCATGTCATCGTGTCACAACTGCAAATACCGATGCTCTTGATATCGATCACTGGATTATCTGGTGCAGATTCCGATATTTACAGACCGCCATCATAAGGCTCACTCACTCCAGGCTTTCCTGTCACATCAACCTGATAAGCTGTGATGTAAATGAATACTGTTAAAAGCCAAACACTCACCAATGCTTGAAGGCCACTTCCTCTAAATGTGTTTGCAGCTACACCACCATAGTGGTGGGCGGCGTGGTGCAGAAGATACCCGTGGACAAGAGTCAAGTCTTCGTATCTGATGTAAGTGTTGACATAATTATTTGTGTAAAACTTGCTGTGTGGTTGTGATGGTAAATGAGATTATTTGTGGCAATAAATAGAAGGAGGTGAAAGCACTCTTTGTTCAATGGAAATCGTTTTTTCAGCTATGTATGTTTTACCCTTCAGTCCCCGACTGTGAGAAGGAGAGCCAAAACTGGAACCAAGAGACTTGGTGAGATGTTTATTGTTTGAAACCATCTGCTGTTATTTTGATGTTTTCTGTTCCCATCAGATTGTCTTGTTAGGACTTTGTGGCACTGCCCTGTCTATGTATCTGTGCCATGTTCTTCTGAGATCAATGTAGGATTGTGTAGGATATTGGCAAGAGGGACTGCCTTGTCTGTCTGTCTGTCTGTCTGTGTCTGTGCCATGTTCTTCTGAGATCAATGTAGGATTGTGTAGGATATTGGCAAGAGGGACTGCCTTGTCTGTCTGTCTGTCTCTCTCTGTCTCTCTGTTCCCCTCCAGATCATGCTGTTATGTAAGGACCTAGGCATTGGAAACTGTCTTCTGTCTGTCTGTCTTCTGTTCCACTCCAGATTGCTGAAAGGACTGACATCAATGTCTGTCTGATCGTCTGTCTGTTTGTATGTATGTCTCTCTGTCTGTCTGATCATGTGTCTGTTTGTATGTATGTCTCTCTGTCTGTCTGATCATCTGTCTGTTTGTATGTATGTCTCTCTGTCTGTCTGATCATCTGTCTGTTTGTATGTATGTCTCTCTGTCTGTCTGATCATCTGTCTGTTTGTATGTATGTCTCTCTGTCTGTCTGATCATCTGTCTGTTTGTATGTATGTCTCTCTGTCTGTCTGATCATCTGTCTGTTTGTATGTATGTCTCTGTCTGTCTGATCATCTGTCTGTTTGTATGTATGTCTCTCTGTCTGTCTGATCATCTGTCTGTTTGTATGTATGTCTCTCTGTCTGTCTGATCATCTGTCTGTTTGTATGTTTGTCTCTGTCTGTCTGATCATCTGTCTGTTTGTATGTATGTCTCTCTGTCTGATCATCTGTCTGTTTGTATGTATGTCTCTCTGTCTGTCTGATCATGTCTGTTTGTATGTATGTCTGTCTCTGTCTGTCTGATCGCTGTCTGTTTGTATGTATGTCTCTCTGTCTGTCTGATCTGTTTCTGTCTGTTTGTATGTCTGTCTCTGTCTGTCTGATCATCTGTCTGTTTGTATGTATGTCTCTCTGTCTGTCTGATCATCTGTCTGTTTGTAGGGTGTTTGTCTGTCTGTCTGATCATCTGTCTGTTTGTATGTATGTCTCTGTCTGTCTGATCATCTGTCTGTTTGTATGTATGTCTCTCTGTCTGTCTGATCATCTGTCTGTTTGTATGTATGTCTCTCTGTCTGTCTGATCATCTGTCTGTTTGTATGTATGTCTCTGTCTGTCTGATCATCTGTCTGTTTGTATGTATGTCTCTGTCTGTCTGATCATCTGTCTGTTTGTATGTATGTCTCTCTGTCTGTCTGATCATCTGTCTGTTTGTATGTATGTCTCTCTGTCTGTCTGATCATCTGTCTGTTTGTATGTATGTCTCTCTGTCTGATCATCTGTCTGTTTGTATGTATGTCTCTCTGTCTGTCTGATCATCTGTCTGTTTGTATGTATGTCTCTCTGTCTGTCTGATCATCTGTCTGTTTGTATGTATGTCTCTCTGTCTGTCTGATCATCTGTCTGTTTGTATGTATGTCTCTCTGTCTGTCATCTGTCTGTGTATGTCTCTCTGTCTGATCATCTGTCTGTTTGTATGTATGTCTCTCTGTCTGATCATCTGTCTGTTTGTATGTATGTCTCTCTGTCTGTCTGATCATCTGTCTGTTTGTATGTATGTCTCTCTGTCTGTCTGATCGTCAGTCTGTTTGTATGTATGTTTGTATGTCTCTCTGTCTGTCTGATCATCTGTCTGTTTGTATGTATGTCTCTGTCTGTCTGATCATCTGTCTGTTTGTATGTATGTCTCTCTGTCTGTCTGATCATCTGTCTGTTTGTATGTATGTCTCTCTGTCTGTCTGATCATCTGTCTGTTTGTATGTATGTCTCTGTCTGTCTGGTCATCTGTCTGTTTGTAGGTCTATGTCTCTGTCTGTCTGATCATCTGTCTGTTTGTATGTATGTCTCTCTGTCTGTCTGATCATCTGTCTGTTTGTATGTATGTCTCTCTGTCTGTCTGATCATCTGTCTGTTTGTATGTATGTCTCTGTCTGTCTGATCATCTGTCTGTTTGTATGTATGTCTCTCTGTCTGATCATCTGTCTGTTTGTATGTATGTCTCTCTGTCTGTCTGATCATCAGTCTGTTTGTATGTATGTCTCTCTGTCTGTCTGATCATCTGTCTGTTTGTATGTATGTCTCTCTGTCTGTCTGATCATCTGTCTGTTTGTATGTATGTCTCTCTGTCTGTCTGATCATCTGTCCGTCTGCAGTTTCTCTTACTGTCTCCTGTTCCCTTCAGATCGCCGTGTGTCATGTAAGGACCTTGGCAAGGGGACTGTGAGGGTTGGCTGCTGAAGAGGAAGATGTCTCGTGGAATCCTCAACAAGAGCTGGGCCAAGAGATGGTGCATCCTCAAGACCTCCAACCTCTTCTACTACAAGGAGAAGGACGTAAGTTTTTCAGCACTTCTCTAATGATATGAAACATAGATTCTCTTCCATATTGGTTACTGTCATAGTCCATACATGATAAATGGAACCAAAGTTTGTTGTGTGCATTGGAATTTAGGCTCAAACACTCATGTTCAGGGTTAGCTAACTCAGGTGTTGAGAATATAAACAAAGCTTGTGAGGATGCATGTTAAGTTGAGGTTATATATAATCAGAAATACCAAATGTGGGTGGAATTATGTTCTACAACCACATGTGTCATGTTGCCTTTGATGGGTCATATGAGTAATTGGGAAAATATTCATTGTTGCTGACGTTAAACCCAATTTCACCTCATGTTGCCGCAACTTTGATGGGAAAATTACACAGTAATTGGGAAGACATCTTCATTGTTGCTGGACAGCTGATGAGTTTCATATTAATTGCAACATGGTAATATATTTGGACAAGATTTGATAACAAAAAGATATATTGGAATTTACTGTATATGTATGATTTTCCCCCACCTACCAACAATGTTTGTTTGCAGTAAGAAATTTTAGCCAAGAATGAAGACATGGCTTTTGGTGTAGTCAGTGTTTAACCCAATATTGGTCAGCCTGGTGTTTAACCGATATTGACCCAATGTTAACATGACCTTCACCTGATTGACCTGGTGTTCACCCTGTGTCGATCTGACCTTGACCTGGTGTAGACCTAAGGTTGATCTGACCTTGACCTGGTGCAGACCTGTAGTTGATTTGCTGTTGACCTGTAGTTAACCTAGTGTTGATCCAATTTGACCCAATGTACTGTAAGTCCCCATGGTCCCAAGTGTGGTGATCTACCTTCAGTTGTTGGCAATCTATAGCCTGTTTTTATATTGTATTGTAATTTATAGTGTCAATATTTTATATTTAATTGCTAGTTTTAAATGGATATCTGTGATACACTAGTAGTTTTACTGTTCTTCGTCAACAGGTTTTTTAATGTCCTACTTTATTGATCTGTAATATAATTATAAACTGTTCTCTTCACGATATGGCTGAAATATTGCCGATGTGACGATAAATATTAACTCACTCACTCACTCACCCAAATTGACCCAGCATTGACCCTGAATTGACCCAGGTATTGATCTGGTGTGTGTTGTGTACAGGATCTGAAGGCAGAAGGGGTGATCCATCTGCCAGCTTTCCAGGTTTCTCCAGCCACGGACATCAAGACCAAGAAGAGGTAAGTCCATGGTGGACATAGCGTCAATGGTTGGCAGTGAAATGTGAGTTTGTGTGCATATGTGCATAAGAGTGCATGCATACATCAGTGTGAATGAGTTTCTGTATGTCTGTTTGTCCAACAATGCATTTTAATTTGTCGATAATCATTTCACTTGTACAGAAGAACACAACTCAACAATTCATAAGGGTAGTGGTGTTTTTCGTCCTGTTGAAAAACTAGTGTAAAATTATTTATGAATCAAGAATGCTCCATAAAACAACCAACCGTTTAAACTGTCAATGGGCTTTGGTAGCCAAGGTATTCAAGTGTTTGCCCATTATGCTATGGTCCAGGTTTTATTCCCAAAATGGGTGCATTGTGTACATTTCCTTGTTATGATATTTGGGGAATAATTATAAGTCTCCTTGCAGTGTTTCTCTTTAAAATTGAATAGAAACCTACATCAAGCATTTACACCTCAAAACTGGGACTCATAGTGGAGATGATATGACACTTCATATTTTAGAATTATATTTAGGGTTAAACAGTTTTTTCTAACAACATATCAAGTTGAACATTTGAAAGACTGACAAATAATGAATGTGGTGCAGTTATTGTAATCTGTGCAAGTTTATGCATGGCTTCAACTCAATGTCCAATGTCCTTTACCGCCAGACCATAACAAATACAAACTTTTTTGCTGCTATTGTTTTGAAACTATAGCAACACGTACGCCTGCGTTGAATTGGGTATATATTTATACTTACAATGCACTGCTGTCAGACATACAGCCTTGACCTTATACTTGACTTAATAGTGAAAAGAGGTGCCCTTGTATGCATGGGTACAAATGACTGCATTTTGGTGGACAATAAACACAAACTTTATGAATCAGCCATTTTGTGAGGGGCCTGGGAAGAGGTAGTTGGGATTTTCTTGAAAAAAATATATTGTGGAAATTTTTGCAAAACTAATTATGCTTCAGACTTTTATACTTTTGGGGGGGAAAATATAAAAATTTATATTGTAGCAAGGGGTTATGGAAAATAAATATTTAGGCTCATGGTTTCAATTTTTAAAATGTTAAACAATATGTGTAAAAAAATATATGTGCAGCTGAAAACTGTCTAGTCGCCAAAGTAAATCCCAGCCACTCCACCCAAGTATTTACACTGTTGTTCCAGTGTGTGACTGCAAACCATGACTCATCTTCGTCAACACAGCTCTCCAGACCAGATCTGCCAGTTTAATAGCCAGACATCCGATGAGGAAGTTATATCATTGAAGTTGTATTTGCAGTTTCACAATACGATAACATATCTGCAGTCGCCTTGAATACCAGTATCTCCTTTCATACACTCTTGACCTAAAAAACTGTTCAACTGATAACTTTTATGAAAGAGCATTTTGAGAACAGTTGTGAAGCAACTATATGTATGCTGTATTTGAAAGGAAATTGTATTCTGTTTACAGGTTTTATAAACTCCTGTGGGCTTTCTCAGTAATTCCTGGGGCGGTGGGGTAGCCTAGTGGTTAAAGCGTTGGCTCGTCACGCCGAAGACCCGGGTTCGATTCCCCACATGGGCACACTGTGTTAAGCCCATTTCTGGTGTCCCCCGCCGTGATATTGCTGGAATATTGCTAAAAGCGGCGTAAAACTAAACTCAGCCAGTCAGTCAGTCTCAGTAATTCCTTGATAAAGGATTACCGGGGTAAATAGTAAAAATGATTTGTATAAACAAAGTACAAGTTGTTTCAACAGCTTTTGGTCTTCATTATCTTTCTAAATGCCAACAAGGTCTTAATTTGCAGAGGTATATAGGGGCGGTGGGGTACACTAGTGGTTAAGACATTCGCTCGTCACGCCGAAGACCCGGGTTCGAATCCCCACATGGGTACAATGTGTGAAGCCCATTTCTGGTGTACCCCGCCGTGATATTGCTGGAATATTGGTAAAAGCGGAGTAAAAGCGGATATACTTTCGGAATCAGAGTATGAAATGACTGTACTTGTGTGTCTGTCAATCATCATGTTGCCATGGTTACAATATATCTATTTTCACCCTCGGCTGCTGTGCAGTGAGCATAGGTGAGTATGAAGGCTCACAGGGTTCTGTCAGCTGAATAATTGTGTTCCGTCCGTTGGATAATTGTGTTCTGTTCAAACATCAATCTAAATATTAGTTCCCTTTGCAGTGTCTGAACTAAGACTGAACCTTGTGATAGTGCATCCTCTGTTGTGCAGGGTGTAATATTTCCATCCTATTATCATGCTGGTCCCAGCCACAACCACATGTACCCTTGAAGATTGGGGTTAAAATTGAACTCCAGCAACCCCTGCTTGTTGTAAGAAGGGAGCGGTGGGGTACATGGGTGGAAATAACCCATTGCCCGACGTCCGAGTCCAGTGTTTTTTTCTGTCGGGCAAGCAAATTTGCTTATCACACTGTACCGGTGTCCAGTTGACTTTCCAATGTAAATTATGTTGTTTATTTAAAAAATCAACAAGAAAACGGCCGGTACAGTGGAAACATTATCAGGGCAAGTGATTTTACATGTGCCACTGTACCGAAGTACACTATCAATTTTAAGTTATTTCCACCCCTGGGGTAGCCTAGTGGTTAAAGCGTTCGCTCGTCACGCCAAAGACTCGGGTTTGATTCCCCACATGGGTATAAAGTGTGAAGCCAATTTCTGGTGTCCCCTGCTGTGATATTGCTGGAATATTACTAAAAGTGGCATAAAACCAAACTTAGTCAGTGTTGTAAGAAGCGAGTAACAGGACGGGTGGTCAGGCTCGCTGACTTGGTTGACACATGTCTTCATATCCTAAGTGTGTAGATCAATGCTCATGCTGTTGATAACTGGATTGTCTGGTCCATACTCGATTATTTGCAGCCCGCCACCATATAGCTGGAATAACGCTGAGGGCAGCAATAAACAGCCAACAAACATTCAATAAGATCCAGTCCGTATGACTGTAACATCAGTAAGTTGGGCGAGATACTTTGTATCACATGTATTGCAACACTAAGCATGATTCTTGTGAACCAAAAAGCCTGAATTCCACAGTATTTAGGTGTGATATGATAAAATAAGAGTCTTATTTCAGACACTGCTGGTTTTAGTTGTGGTTTTTTTTCATTTCAAACTGTATCGTTGTATTGTGAGGGGCAGGTGTAAACCGTTAAAATACTTTTCTTGAGTTTTGTTTACTGTTGCGGACTATTGTTGTTCTCTGTATTCTACTCAACAGAAGTCTAGGAACACACATTTTGCATGATTGTAGTTAATCTATTGTGATCTATGTTATATGGGGATGGTGGGTAGCCTGTAGTCTATCCAACCCAATAATACCGATTCGAATTAGTGATCGTTTGTTAAACAACTTTTATCCTAAGTTGAATGAAATTCTGAGATTTAAATGTTTAATTGGCAAGGTGAAATTATGAGGATTCGCAATCTTAATTCCATGTTATTGATTTACTTTTTTGTTTAGAGCGAAATTCATCGGTACGTTTTCACTGCAAACAAACTATAGTGGTTGAGGCGGTTATTCGTCACAGGTTCATTTACTCACAAGGGTACAATGCGTGAAGCCCATTGTGAAACCAATTTCTGATGTCTCCTGCCGTGATATTGCTGGATATATTGCAAGGAGCAGTGTAAAATGTTACTCACTCACTCACTCACATATAGTTAATATGTCATGATCTGTCCTTGACTTCTTTTGAGTAGCACTGCATGGTCGTTAAAGTGGGTTTTTTGTTGAGAAAACACAATCAGGAAATATGAACCTAGAGCTCACACATGTCTATGATAATTATGTGATTGATATTTTAATGGTGTTTTGTTGTATCATGAGAGAGCAATCCAACTATGGTGTTGCAGTTTTTCTTAAGCCTTTTAAAGGTGTTCATAACGTTTATGATCACATCGTACGGAGGATAAAATATTGAGGCTGAGTTCGCATAAAAAGCTGATGTTTTACATATTCTTGTTATTTTAACTTGTTTGCGCAAAATATACATTCATGGTCATGGATAAATTTCAAGCCTTTACAAGTTTTTCATCTTTGCCAGTTTTTACGTCTTCTGGTGCGGTGTTAATCAAAACAGTACTATTGTTTTAATCTTGGTGGCGATGACAGTGTTAATGACCATGATAATAACGGCAGGATGATGATGGTGGTGATGATGATGACGACCATGGTATGATGATGATGATGATGATGATGATGATGACGACCATGATATGATGGTAATGATGATGATGATGACGACGACCATGATAGGATGGTGGTGATGATGATGATGATGATGATGATGATGATGATGATGATGATGACAGTCACAGCAAGCCATGATTCACTTGCATCTCGACATGTAAATTGTGTTGTGATTTCAGTGCCTTCAAGATCCACAACCCGGCACGACGTCCTACTTCGCATCAGAGAGACAGGATGACATGAGCAAGTGAGTGACTGCAATACAGTTTCATTTAGCCTCGTTCCTTTCTCCCTCTCTCCATCCAGGCAGCACTTGTAGCACAGTCGTCTAGTTCGGTGTGCTGAATTGCATTCTCTGGGTTCGAACCCCAGTTCACTCCAAATCTGTTTCTGGGTTGGTGAGGACCATACCTCATGGGTGTAAACTGTGTACATAAAACATCACACAATATGTATCATTCCACTGCCTCATCTCCACAGCATCTTCTTGACGAGTTGTAATCTGTTGAACATGTTATCCAGAGGCCCAGATAAGCTGCGTATCCGGGTAAAATACGCATAGAAAATTTCAAATTACGCATTGAAAAGTAATTGTTGCGTACCAATTACGCATTTAAAATGTTAGATACGCAAATAGTTTAAAACAAATGCGTACGGAATATATTTATAAAAATCGCTTGCGTAATGAAAAAGACATCAAATGCTATCAAGATGTACTGTTAGTATAGGACAAGTGTTGTACTGTCAGTATAGAATGAGTGATTTTTTTATGAAATCATTTCCATTATATTTAAGTTGGTTTTGATTAGGTATGACATAAGGCAGAACATACCTGCTTAGTAAACTTACTCAGTCACATAATACTTAGGTAAGTAAAATGACTGAAATACGCACATATTTGAAAGCAGTGGGTAACGCAAAATGAAATACCCACTCAACATTCATAATACCCTCTCCAAAAAAATACAGTGGGTACAGTACCCACATGAGCTAAATCTTATCTGGAGCTCTGTGTTATCAACACCGTTAAGTGACCTATGTGCCTCTTCTCAGATGGATGAACAAAATGGGCCTGGCAGCCATCAACTTTGATACTAGTCGGGTCATCACCACAGGGGGCTTCATCAAGCCCGAGCCGCGCTCACCCCACCCCATGGGGGTACAGAGTAAGTACTATCATCATTATAGTGCACTGGACCCATGAAGGTCTGTGTTATAATTGGTCTTCAGCAACCCATGCTTGTCGTGAGAGGCGACTAACGGGATCTGGTGGTCAGGCTCGCTGACTTGGTTGACACATGTCATCGGTTCCCAATTTGCGCAGATCGATGCTCCTGCTGTTGATCACTGGATTGTCTGGTCCAGACTCGATTATTTACAGACCGTTGCCATAAAGCTGGAATATTGCTGAGTGCGGCGTAAAACTAAACTCACTCACTCACTATCTAGCTATTGTTATTTTGAAATCCTAGCCACTGTTTCACTGTACTATATCCTAGCTACAACCTGACTACTATTTGACTATCCTAGTTACTGACTACTATTATACCACTATCCAGACTACCAACTTGCTACTGTAATCCTAGACACTATCTCACTTTTTTACTACTCAAGGTACTGTCTGATCACAATCACTATACTGTGCAATCACTACTATCTTCTCCCCTCAGATATCTACAATCACTACAATCTTCTCCCCTCAGATATTTACAATCACTACAATCTTCTCCCTTCAGATATCTACAATCACTACAATCTTCTCCCCTCGGATATCTACAATCACTACAATCTTCTCCCCTCAGATATTTACAATCACTACAATCTTCTCCCTTCAGATATTTACAATCACTACAATCTTCTCCCCTCAGATATTTACAATCACTACAATCTTCTCCCTTCAGATATCTACAATCACTACAATCTTCTCCCCTCAGATATTTACAATTACTACAATCTTCTCCCCTCAGATATTTACAATTACTACAATCTTCTCCCTTCAGATATCTACAATCACTACAATCTTCTCCCCTCAGATATTTACAATCACTACAATCTTCTTCCTTCAGATATTTACAATCACTACTATCTTCTCCCTTCAGATATCTACAATCACTACAATCTTCTCCCCTCAGATATTTACAATTACTACTATCTTCTCCCTTCAGATATCTACAATCACTACAATCTTCTCCCCTCAGATATTTACAATCACTACAATCTTCTCCCTTCAGATATTTACAATCACTACAATCTTCTCCCCTCAGATATTTACAATCACTACCATCTTCTCCCTTCAGATATCTACAATCACTACAATCTTCTCCCCTCAGATATTTACAATTACTACAATCTTCTTCCCTCAGATATTTACAATCACTACAATCTTCTCCCCTCAGATATTTACAATCACTACAATCTTCTCCCCTCAGATATTTACAATCACTACAATCTTCTCCCCTCAGATATTTACAATTACTACAATCTTCTCCCCTCAGATATTTACAATTACTACAATCTTCTCCCTTCAGATATTTACAATCACTACAATCTTCTCCCTTCAGATATTTACAATCTTCTCCCTTCAGATATTTACAATCACTACAATCTTCTCCCCTCAGATATTTACAATTACTACAATCTTCTCCCCTCAGATATTTACAATTACTACAATCTTCTTCCCTCAGATATTTACAGTTACTACAATCTTCTCCCCTCAGATATCTACAATCACTACAATCTTCTCCCCTCAGATATTTACAATTACTACAATCTTCTTCCCTCAGATATTTACAATTACTACAATCTTCTCCCCTCAGATATCTACAATCACTACAATCTTCTCCTTTCAGATATTTACAATCACTACTATCTTCTCCCTTCAGATATTTACAATTACTACAATCTTCTCCCCTCAGATATCTACAATCACTACAATCTTCTCCCCTCAGATATCTACAATCACTACAATCTTCTCCCTTCAGATATCTACAATCACTACAATCTTCTCCCTTCAGATATTTACAATCACTACAATCTTCTCCCCTCAGATATTTACAATTACTACAATCTTCTCCCCTCAGATATTTACAATCACTACAATCTTCTCCCCTCAGATATTTACAATTACTACAATCTTCTCCCCTCAGATATTTACAATTACTACAATCTTCTCCCCTCAGATATTTACAATTACTACAATCTTCTTCCCTCAGATATTTACAATTACTACAATCTTCTCCCCTCAGATATCTACAATCACTACAATCTTCTCCCCTCAGATATTTACAATTACTACAATCTTCTTCCCTCAGATATTTACAATTACTACAATCTTCTCCCCTCAGATATTTACAATTACTACAATCTTCTTCCCTCAGATATTTACAATTACTACAATCTTCTCCCCTCAGATATTTACAATTACTACTATCTTCTCCCCTCAGATATTTACAATTACTACAATCTTCTTCCCTCAGATATTTACAATCACTACAATCTTCTCCCCTCAGATATTTACAATTACTACAATCTTCTTCCCTCAGATATTTACAATTACTACTATCTTCTCCCCTCAGATATTTACAATTACTACAATCTTCTTCCCTCAGATATTTACAATTACTACTATCTTCTCCCTTCAGATATTTACAATTACTACAATCTTCTTCCCTCAGATATTTACAATTACTACAATCTTCTCCCCTCAGATATTTACAATCACTACAATCTTCTCCCCTCAGATATCTACAATCACTACAATCTTCTCCCCTCAGATATCTACAATCACTACAATCTTCTCCCTTCAGATATCTACAATCACTACAATCTTCTCCCTTCAGATATTTACAATCACTACAATCTTCTCCCCTCAGATATTTACAATTACTACAATATTCTCCCCTCAGATATTTACAATCACTACAATCTTCTCCCCTCAGATATTTACAATTACTACAATCTTCTCCCCTCAGATATTTACAATTACTACAATCTTCTCCCCTCAGATATTTACAATTACTACAATCTTCTTCCCTCAGATATTTACAATTACTACAATCTTCTCCCTCAGATATCTACAATCACTACAATCTTCTCCCCTCAGATATTTACAATTACTACAATCTTCTTCCCTCAGATATTTACAATTACTACTATCTTCTCCCCTCAGATATTTACAATTACTACAATCTTCTTCCCTCAGATATTTACAATCACTACAATCTTCTCCCTTCAGATATCTACAATCACTACAATCTTCTTCCCTCAGAAATTTAAAATCACTACAATCTTCTCCCCTCAGATATTTACAATCACTACAATCTTCTCCCCTCGGATATCTACAATCACTACAATCTTCTCCCCCCAGATATCTACTACTCAGAGTCAGAGGACGAGGGAGAAGACGACGTGTCTGTCGGCAGTCAGATGGGCAGTCAGATATCACTGGTCAGTCAGTCATCCGCCTGCAGCAGCAACACCCTGTCGGGACCAGCAACACAGGAAGTAGGTGGCAGCACCTCCACTCTGGTGCCAACGGCTGAATCCTCAGTACCTGTAGAGAAAAGACAGAAAGGTAGATGCAAGTGTTAATCGGGATCACCGAACTGAACAATTGAAGATCACTTATTCAGTCAACAGAATGTGAATAGGTGAAGGTCATTTCTTCTACAGTCAACTGAAGGCCAATAAGTGAAGGTCTTCTTAGTCAGTCAACTGCTGGTTGACCCAATCTTGATTGTCAACACATTCCCATGACATAATTATATTTGAAACATCAATGCCAGTGAATAATCAGTCTTAGATATCTACTCAGTCAGATTCTATTTGACGTGCAAAGCAAAACAGTGGTGAAATTATACAAAAGAATCACTGAAAATCAATGATAACAGTAATTGTTTGCTAAAAAGGCAATCATGTCCTGAGCAGCACATTGAGCAAACACAATTTGCTTAAAACATACAAAATGTATTTGCTGTCTTACACCGAGCAGCATATACTCTTGTCATGAGCTGTTAACCTGTAAACAAACCATTCAATATGTGGAACAGAAAATTCAATGTCACCATATTGTACTGGCATATACTGATGTTTGAACACCATCTCCCATCTCTTGCAGACTCCAGTGTGTCTTCGGAACCACCTTCAGGTAGCCCTGACGATCTCACAGGTATTTTACGCAACCTACATGGACAAAACCTCACAATAGATGGCATTGATAGGGAACGACTACGTAGAAGTCACATAACGTCGACCGACTTGCTGAAATCGTCGCGAGGAGAGCTAAACAAACTTAGGAAACTCCAGTCACTGCAGAGGACATTGAAGGTGTCTGTCTTAGATCTGTTCCTGCTTTTTGCTCCAGGCAGTAGCGGAACGCCTCACTCAACATGACGCTCCTTGTATACAACTAGTTCTCACTGCTTTGTTGTTAACCGTATATGGAGAAGTAGCTGTACACGCTATGTAGTTCAGGACCTGGCTTACATTCATTGCTGCTTTATTATATATTTTATTTATTTATTTGATGTCAGATTTGATTTTGAAAGTGAGATACTGGGTTTTTTTTGGTATTTTCAAAGTCTGAACATTAGTTTTGAGGTGATATAGATTTAGATCTTATTTTTACGTTTTTCATTTCTTTCGGATATAGAAATGGGGATTTTTCTAGGATGCACTTGTCAGTCATACCTGACAAAAATGTTATTTTTATAATCAGGATGTATTTTTATGCATTTATTTTTTCTTATTTCATGCAATAATTCATAACTAATCATTCAAGTGCCTTAGTATTATTAGTGACATAGTCAACTCTTCAAAGTACTTATCTGTTATAAATTTAATAATTAACATGAATTAATGGCCTAGAAAAATCCCTGAAAGAGTTCAATTTCATAGCTTCTTTTCATAGCTTTAGCTATTTTCCAAATGATTCTGATAGTTTGGGAAGCATCATATACCAGTTATCTGTGAAATGTTTAGTGGTCTTCAGCAACCCATGCTTGCCACAAAAGGCGAAAATGCTTGTCGTAAGAGGCAACTAATGGGATCGGGTGGTCAGGTTCGCTGACTTGGTTGACACATGTCATCGGTTCCCAATTGCGCAGATCGATGCTCATGCTGTTGATCACTGGATTGTCTGGTCCAGACTCGATTGTTTACAGACAGTCGCCATATAGCTGGAATATTGCAGAGTGCGGGGTAAAACTAAACTCACTCACTCCAAAATACCTGTCATTGTACAATTGGGATATGATACAAAGTTTATGTGGGGTGAGAATTTTTCACGGAATTCCACTGATTTGATCACACTGGGGTCATTCTTGTGAATTGTCTAAACCTGCGGCCCCCAAGACCCTGGCACATATTCCTCTTTTTGCATTTCTACCCATTCTCATCCGTGATACTATCGGTTAGATGATGCAAAATGTATCTGCCAACACCACACTGACTGTCAAAATGAAGCTATGGATTATAATGGCTATCATTATAACTAAGGGATATTACTGAGTGGGAAACACAAGATGTTTCAAACAAGAAATATCATAAACGAACTGACATAACAAGCTAGTTTGGGATCCCGGCCACTTGATGTATGTGTTAGTCGAAATGTATACAACTAAAATTGGTTATGACAAACTGCAGTTAAGCAGGACTCACACAGGTCGGGACGTCATAATGACCTACCGATTTCCTTACATTGTACAACATGGTCGGTGGTTGTAACGAATATCGACTGATCAATTAGCTACCTCTAACACGATTCAATCTAGGGTCAATCTCGTAATATCTCGCGGTATTCTGTATCCATGGTATCAAACTGTCGGAAGCAGACATAGTAGCAGTTATCTGCTGCGCGATACTATGTGAAGAAGCCAAAGCAAAGAAAAAGATAATTTTTTGGACAAAATTAAGTTTCTCTGTCCCAACACGCATGGAGCATACAACCATCTCATTAAAGAACTTGAAATTGAAGACAAACAATCGTGAAAATTCAAGGTGTGGTTTCTTTGAAGCAGACGAAGCCATGTTTCGTGCTTGTAAACATTTACCACGTGACACCAACACACATCCAACTTGCCGAATATCTAGAACAGACTCTACACACTCACAACACAATCAACACGGGTTAAACTGGCAGATTTGTACTGTTTGTTGAATTCAATTAATCACTCAGACGATATGAATCCATCAAATTCGGCATATTGTTTGGACAAGCCAACCCGTGTGAGTCCGCCTTTATAATGATCTGAAACTAGTGGTGCATTTGTGTTCATGATAACCGTTCTTTACTGTACATCTGTACATGAGCTGTATCGATACAAAGCTAAGGTTAATGGGTCCATAGTGCTTGTCATTCTACAATGGGGACATTATGGACTGGATACAGGGAAGACGTCCAACAAGGAGGTCATGAGTGAGAGTGTTCCGGTGCTCTGGTGCAGGGTTCTGGCCTTGTACACGCTCCCCCTCACCTTTGCCAGCTAACTCCCTTCCAGCTGGAACAACAAACCTCATCATCGTCTCACTCTGTGGTTTTAATGATTTCTGATGTCATATAGAGGAACTTTCTAAATTGAAAACCACTTCTTTCTCATCATCGTCATCACCATCATCATACACATACAATGGACCTAATGTTAAATTATTTATTCAGTTCATCAGATGCTCACTTCTAACACAATATATTTAGCTTTTTCGTTAACAGATAATATCTTCAAAATTATCATGGACGGTAAGAATCAAAGAATAGACTCGCGTAGTTTGTCCATATCGATGCCTCTGACTTCATGTTATAAAACATGAAGCTTTTTTGATTGATTTTATTCACTGTTAGCGTAGAATATTTATTAAACTATATAATATTTATTCATTCATATCATATTTAACGCTCATGCTTCATTTAAATACTATCCTAACCAGCATGCTTTTTGTGTGTGTAGTCGAGGGAGTGGTTTTGTTGCTTCATGGTGTTGTTGAATTGTGAAAGAAAGAAAAATCTTCTTTATGTGTATTTTTAAGGAGTTTGTTCCCACCATACGTTGCTGTATTTGAATAGTTAAGAATTTGTTATCCTTAATGTCTTATCCTGAAGAAATTTCTTCTGTTAAAATAACTTTATTTCGAATAATGAAATAAGGATTGACATTCTGAATTTATTGATGGTAATTCTTGTGAATGAGAATATGGCTAATGTCTCTCAATGTCATTACATACATGTGATGGGAGGTAAGTATGACTACCAGCTCTGATCATAACTTGGTTACATCTGAGTGTTATGTTAATCAGTAAAAAGAAAAATCAGTAAAATATGTGAAAAAATTGGATATTCCTTCTTTTGAGTAGTATATTATCATTGCTGGCATGGAAAATGGCTTATGGGAAGAAGCATGTCACTTTAGACCCTGGTATGTTTTCAGTTTCAATAGTCCCATATATCATTCATTAAGTTATATATACTGTAGGCCTTGACTTGATGTTAGCAGGATTTCTCTTGTTTGCTCTGCTTGACATTGGTCTCCTTATGATGTTGTACTAACACACACTTTGGGGTGATCGTTCCCTCGCTGGGAGGAGCTGAGTGGTTCTTTTAGGTGTTATACTAACTCTCACACTTGGGGGGATTGATTTCACGCTGCGGGGTTCTTCATGTCTTGGTTACTTAACATATATCTAACAGATGGAAGAGACATGGAATGGAAGGCTGGGGTAAAGTAGGCATTGACTGGTAGTCTGGGGTAGGTGGGCATTGACTGGTAGGTGGGCATTGACTGGTAGGGTGGGCATTGACTGGTAGTCTGGGGTATCTGGGCATTGACTGGTAGGTGGGCATTGACTGGTAGGGTGGGCATTGACTGGTAGTCTGGGGTAGGTGGGCATTGACTGGTAGTCTGGGGTAGGTGGGCATTGACTGGTAGTCTGGGGTAGGGCGGGCATTGACTGGTAGTCTGGGGTAGGGCGGGCATTGACTGGTAGTCTGGGGTAGGTGGGGATTGACTGGTAGGTGGGCATCGACTGGTAACCTGGGGTAGGTGGGCATTGACGGGTAACCTGGGGTAGGTGGGCATTGACTTGTAACCTGGGGTAGGTGGGCATTGACTGGTAACCTGGGGTAGGTGGGCATTGACTGGTAGTCTGGGGTAGGTGGGCATTGACTGGTAGTCTGGGGTAGGTGGGCATTGACTTGTAACTTGGGGTAGGTGGGCATTGACTTGTAACCTGGGGTAGGTGGGCATTGACTTGTAACCTGGGGTAGGGTGGGCATTGACTGGTACCCAAGGGTAGGGTGGGCATTGACTGGTAGTCTGGGCATTGACTGGTAACCTGGGATAGGGTGGGCATTGACTGGTAACTTGGGGTAGGTGGGCATTGACTGGTAGTGTGGGGGTGGGGTGGGCATTGACTGGACTGGTGAGTGTGGGGTAGGGTGGGAATTGACTGGTAGTCTGGGGGCAGTGGGCATTGACTTGTAACCTGGGGTAGGGTGGGCATTGACTTGTAACCTGGGGTAGGGTGGGCATTGACTGGTAACCTGGGGTAGGGTGGGCATTGACTGGTAACCTGGGGTAGGGTGCATGAAAAAAATAGCCTGGGGTAGGGTGGGCATGGACTGGTAGCTTAGGGAAGGGTCGCGTGAAAAAGTAGCCTGGGGTAGGTGGGCATTGACTGGTAACCTGGGGTATGGTGCATGAAATAGTAGCCTGGGGAAGGGTGGTTTATTGAATTGTTAAATATTCTGATCACGACCTTTAAGGTTATTTTGGCTTACAACCTTGAAGTTTAATGTTGAGGGTTAATGTAATTTATGAGATCAGTGCATGGTGAACATTAAAGGAGACTTGGGAAATGTGTTTTATTGTGATGATCTCTGTGTGTACCATTGTATGGGCAAACCTGGAGATGAGTAGGCATTGCCAATAGCACCTGTCTTTATGTTTCAGGCTAAGCAGCTGGAACTGTCTGAAATCAACAATTTCTTTGAGAAGACTCTGACACATGAGTCGATAAGTGAGTTCAAGGAACAATACACTGGGTAGAGTGACCACCTCCTTTGGTGCATTCATGGACAATTTGGATCGTGTGATTGTGCATGAATCAACAAACTTTAGACAGTGACACCACCACTGTTGCAACATCTGTGGACAAGCAAGATCATGTGATACAAACATCCCCGAGCTGAAGAGCAGGCTCACAACTGGTATCCTTTAAGAGAAACATTTGCAGATCCTGTCATGGCTGTGCAGGTGTAGTGCCAGGAGTGCCAGCAATAGAACTCTGTGTGCAGGGATTTATGATACGAGAGCTGCTGCAGAGGAGCTCTTTGTGCAGGGGTGGCCTGTGTGCTTTATGCAGGAATGGACTTTGTGCAGGGGTGGCCTGTGTCTGAGGTCTTTATGCAGGGGTGGCTCGAGGTCTTTGTGCAGGGATGGCCTGTGTCCGAGGTCTTTGTGCAGGGATGGCCGGTGTTCGAGGTCTTTGAGCAGGGATGCCCCATGTTGGAGCACTCTGTGCAGGGATGTCTGATGTCGCACACAAGTTGAATATTTGTTTCTTGAGGCTCATTTCATTTCTGGTATGTCATTACAAGGTTCTATTCCTGCTACACTCTGGGCAAGAATGTGGCACTTCGTAACAATTCCGCCCAGGAATCCCCAAATGAAAGTGATATGGGCTTCTTCTAGGCTCCTTGTTCTTCAAAACCAATTTTGTGTCATTACTTCACAAGTGAGGTACATTCATTGAAGTTACGTGATCATCGTTCTCGTCTTGATGCTTGTGTGGTTCAGTGTCATTCTCAGTTATGTTCAAGATGTTTCTACGTATTACAGCCAACTGCAAATATTTGTGTATAAATATTGTTTTTGTTTTATGCGCAAACAGTAAAGTTGTTGTTTCATATAGTCTGTGTTGGTTTGATTATAAGATCTGAGAAATACATTTTGCAGTCCACATCATCACAATGGAAGTAACTGTGGATAGGCCAGAGTGAGTATGGTGAGTGAGTATTTTCGCCAGTGAGGGACACCAGAAATGGGCTTCACACTTCGTACCCATGTGGGGAATCGAAGCCGAGGCTTCGGCATGATGAGCGAACGCTTTTACCACTAGGCTACACCACCGCCCCGCCTGGGCCAATGTCCATGATGACATACAATCACCAAAGACACCTGATGACTTTAATTTCATTGAAATTGTTCATGTGTTGAGAGTGAATTGGGTTTAGTACTGCTTTCAGACATTTCGCAAAATGTGCTGGATATGGTTTCTTAGATGTTTTATGCATGTGAATTTGTATGGTCCTAGAAATATTGTCTCTGAACATTCAGTTGAAACTGTTTTTGCAAAATATTACAGAAATACTTTTGTTAATTTTTCAAAGATGTTTTGAAAACAAACTTGGAACAGCCCGGTGAAAAATTAGTTGAAACTGGGACATTGACTTCAGACAGTGTCAGCATGGTTAAACACTGAAAACATGATCTCATATCAATCGCAGAAAACACTGACATAAAACCAAAACTTCATGACATCACTGAATAGAAAATTACTGTCACAGAAAACACATGAATTATATCTTTGTAGAAAATATTTATTCAAAAAAAAAAAGTCAAGAGTTCCCAATACTGGATGAATAGCAACCAGCATAACAAAACGGGACAGAATGATACTTTGACACCTTTTGTTGAAAATAAAATAATGGTCTACACAGTTCTATTTTTGTCCTACACTGAAATAGGGGAATACCCCATAATTATGTCTCTTACAACTATGGTCTGAACAACATTACAATTGAATCTCTTGGCTATGTAATGGGTTGGAAATATATACTTTGACTAGGTGGGTTAATTGTGCCTGAGAGCAATCAATTTTTACTTTTCCATGATCAAAAAATAATTACTCAAAACCAGATTTATAGTTTGTTTGCAGTGAAAACGTACCGATAAAATTCACTTTAAAGAAAGGAGTAAATCAAATAAAGTGAAATTAATTTTGCGAATACTCATGATTTTACCTTGCCAGTTGAACATTTAAATCTCAAAATTTTATTCAAATTAGGATAAAAGTTGTTTAACAAACGATCATAGATTCAAATCGCTATTATTGGTTTGTATTACAAGGGGGTAAGCGCAGTCGTTGGAACAGTGAAACAAATGAAACGTGCAGTACGTGAAGAGCGTTAACAACAACCCTTGTCGTTTTCAGTGTTTCATTTGATGTGCTTACCCCCTTGTAATACAAACCAATAATAGCCATGTGAAACGATGATCGTTTGTTAAACAACTTTTATCCTAAGTCGTTTAAAATTCTGAGATTTAAATGTTCAATTGGCAAGGTAAAACCATGTGGATTCGCAGTCTTAATTTCACTTTATTTGTTTTACTTTTGGGTTTAAAGTGACATTCATCGGTATGTTTTCACTGCAAACAGACTATAACAGTAAAATTTCATTCCACATTTCAACTTCTCTTATCACCCAACTTAACACAAAATTTCTCATTTGTGATTCACTGATGATGGCAGGATGCAAAAAAGAGCTTGTAAAGAAGCCACTCTAGAGAAGGGGCTTCAGGGATGAATATGATCATGTGATCACATTTTAAGCTTGTGGTTTAAAGCTGTCCTGTACAGCCACATAACTGATTGAAAGCGGGGCCTTGAGACAAGAATTGGTAACTTTTACCCTACCTAATACAGAAAGCCACACACAGATAGCCCAGTAAATGAAATTCAATGAAAGGAAAGTCAAATGTCAGTTGTTCCATCATATTAGTCTTCATCTACTATCAATTTGATCACCATAAAACAAGATACTTTTAACATTTTTTGAGTTCCACATGTTATTTTTACATTCAGTTTATCAGAGGAGAAACAAACTCACCGGATTTGCAAGTTGTGCTGAAATAGTCTTGCATCACAATTACTGGGGAAGGAACATGATGAAGATGTAAGATATGTACCATCTTTGTAAAAATCATGAGATGTATGTAACAGGACTCATACCCAACATCCTTGCATCCTGGCACAACAATGGGAGACAATCATTCAGGTCATCTCACAGACTCCACTAAATGCATGGTATTTGATGTACTGGTAGTCATGGATACACATTCAAAACCAAATTCTGTCAATTATTGTAATGACAGTACTCTCATACAGGTAGAAAGAAGTCTACCTAATACATGGTCTTGTATCTAAGGAACTTCTAGATGTCGGGCAAACATGTAAAGTCAAAAACAAATTCTAATTTCAAAATGCATCCTTTCACAGCAAACAATGTATTTCCTGACAACTGATGCACACACACATATACAAAACAAATCCTCTGAATGAAACCACTGCAACAGAAGAACTGCCATCCACTTCAGCTGAACATCAACAAGTTCACCCAACGGACACTCATTCATTAATGCCAAACTTCAGTACAACGAAACACACACCGCAACAGTGCAATGTAAATGCACAACTAGGTTGTATAACTTAACACGTAATTACTCACAAATCAGCAATAAATAATCCTGCTCTGTACATTTTAGTTTTGTTCAATATATACACTTCAAGAAAAGAAATAAGTAGTATCAGCAACAAACAAGTAGTTTCAAATATTGTACAAAATTTCATTTCAAACAATTTTGATCAGATGCAAATACATAGGTCAATCTTGAAACAGTATAATATATCTCTTGTGGTATATCTTTGAACAATCTTTGAATAAGTTTTGAACATGCAGCATTCCATTCTGTAAAAACACATTGACACCCAGGTGTGTAGCCATCTGTTTATCTGAATGAGTTTAGTTTAACGCCACTTTCAGCAATATTCCAGCAATATCATGGCGGTGGACACAGAAATGGGTTTCACACATTGTACCCATGTGGGGAATCGAACCTGGATCTTTTGGCTGATGACGAGCGAACACTTTAACCACTAGGCTACCCCACCGTCCCTCTGCTTAAGGCCACTGTACAATGACAACATATACAATCTGAACCCACCCAACTGAGACTATCTGTTCAAAATGGAGTAGTGTTGAGTAGTGGCAGCACTAGCTGGATGAGGTGTGTATACCACTAGTATGAATATCTTTCTAGTGACAATAATTTGCTCACGAGTTGAAAATATTTTGGTGAAATATTTACGACAAATGTATTTGACATGGTAATATGGTAACCCTATTAAATGCACTACACGTGTCATGAAGGATTAAATCACGTTACATTTCATCTCATGACGGAGTCACATCATATTCCAACATAACTTCAACATTTTCTATAAGTCAGTCCTGAGGTATCTTGCCAAACATGAATCCACTTTTCTCATCATAAAATATGATTCAGTTTGAACTTGAAATCACAAACACAAGCATGATAAGTGATGAGTTTGTCTGAACACAGATTGTGTAGTCCCACGAGATCTCTATTCTTCAACCAAAATCGGACAGAGCCACCTGTCGTTTACCATCCTCGCCTGTAGCGCCATCTGGAGGGTCTCTACGTCTCCATGTTGGCAAGGATGTGAGAGATCTCAGCACGCTGTGTCTGTGTCATGTGCTGTGTGATGTGGACGATTGAGTCCATAGCCACCTCCGGGTTGTCCTGGATCAAACTGTAACAAGGCAACAGTTGTCATGGAAACAATTACAGATTTCAAAGAGGGAAGGGAATTCATTACTGTTATACATGGTTTACCCCTGAACAATACACAATTTAATAATATTCCCAATACAAGATGCTAGCCTAAAAACAATTCTGGAGCAGACAATCTAGTGATTGATATTAAGAACATTGCTCCACAGAGTCATGATCCGTGACCAACTGAGCAAATCTCTGTCTGAGCCTCTCAGTATAATGAGTGAGTTTAGTTTTAGGCTGCTTTCAGCAATATTCCAGGAATATCATGGCAGGGGACACCACAAATGGGCCTTACACATTGTACCAATGTGGGGAATCGAATCTGGGTCTTTGGCGGCGAGACGAGCGAACTCTTCAACCACTAGGCTAGCCCCACCACCCCTCCATCTCAATATATTTAGTGTAAGTAGGCTCTTACAGCCGAGGAGGCTAGATTCTCATGAGAGTGAGTGCTCTAACTCAGCAAGACCTCATTCTACAAAGTAATCATAGTGCTCCAGTGATCAACAGCATGAGCATCGATTGGGAACCTCACAGTTACAAAGTCAGCGAGCCTGACCACCCGTAGTTGCAATAAGCGAAGTGCTATGACTGCTGAAGGCTATGAGGAATCTTGTTGATTCTGAGTAATGATGAATTGACTGACCTCCGGACTTGCTGCAACACATGGTCTCTCTGTAGACATCGGATGTTCTCCAGCACAGTGTTCTTCTCTTGTGTCTCGTCCAGCTGGTTCACCAGCCACTCCACAGCCGCCTCATCGTCCTCGTACAGATATCGCCTGTCGATGCAGAAAGCAGAACATTTAGAAACAAGAATCTGCTGCATACTAGCTTGCTGGGGAGAACTGCCTGTTCTCATCAACTCTTGGAGGGAGGACATTTACCACTTTGGTGGAACAGGCACCTGTATGTTGCTAAGAAACCAAGAAACAAAACTGGGACAGAGATTCGAACCCACATTCAAAGGCTTCTTGAACTCCTCAGGAATGCAAGTCAGTACAGTGTATCATGGCACCTTAGACAACAAGGACATCAGTGCTCCTATCTATTCAGAGAGCCCATGTGCCAGAAAGGATGGAATCAGCAAAATGATGGGTCAATACCGGCACTTTACATGCTTCAGGAACACCTGCTGTCCCTAAGCTCTGCAGTCCTCAAGGTAGCTAATCTGAACTGTGCAAAATTTTAATGATAGTTTCTACAGAAATTTTTGGTGACAGTGGTCCCCAAATATAAGAAACCTGTTGGGTATTAGTAAATGGAGTCCAGTTCAGGAAGGTAACTTTGGACAATGAATGCAATTCTCGGTCCTGACTCAAAGAGGACTGTAGTCAGTGGTCCCCCCAAACCACAGACCTATTCTAAGTCTTCAGGGGCACAATGAAACTGCAACCCCAGGGAACCTATCATAAAGTTGGGAACCTATTCCAAGCAAGGGGGACCAATTTGACACATTGCTATGACCTATGACAAGCATGGGTGACCTATGGCAAGTCCAGTGGAAGCAGCCTAACAAGGTCCACAGAGAGCTGGAGTTAACAGTGATACTTACATTGACTGTGCCTTGGTCCTCCACAAACCACCGTCCAAGCATGGAGTCCAACTGGGCCTCACTCGAGTCCTTGGTGAACTGGCGTAACTTCTTCTTGACCTCGTTCTCCAGGAGACGCCGCCGCAGTCGCCAGTAGAAGAACTCACGACTACGTTCCCACTTGAGGATAGCCTACAGAAGACACTGAACCATGCTCAACAAGATCCAAATAGTAACATGTAACGCTTGGTTACCCAAAGAAAAAAAATGATCCAATAAATATCATCTTAATTCTCTTCAAGTAACTAATTTTTCAAAATAAGTTTAACAACATTATGCCATCTTTTCAAGTTTATCAACATAAACTGTTTGAATATTATATGTTAACAAAGTGTTCGTCAATAATTAGTTGTAATATCAATGCTTTCTACATGTTCTGGTCGTCATGTCATGATTTATTCTGCTAAAACTATTTGATTTTTCATCATGTATACTGGAATATCATTGTTATTTGTTTGTATAAAATGTTGAAAAATGCAACAAAATAAAAAACTATAAAAAAAAAAGATCCAAATAGTGAGAGCCTCAATAACAGTGAGGGAGGGAATGAATCCAGTCATCTTTAATCTTTTTGACTGAAGGCAAATTGAATAAATAATAAAGCAAATTTACAGAATCAATTGGTCCAGTATCCATCTGTACTTCAAATAAATAGATACAGACCACCTGTTTTTTTCATGTTAACAATAGTAATGTGAATCAGATTGTTCCTAAATCTTTTAGTCTTGACACAGACTAACTGCAGCAAATCTAGAGAATCAGTTGGTCCTTATCCTCTTTTGAGCACTATTATTTGTGCAACTGACCGAGATGACCCCCTTCTCCTCCATACGTCCCGGAGTGTCGTGGAGGTCTGCGAACTGCACAGCGACCGTGTGGTAGATGGAGAGGAGACTCTCCTCCCTCTTGGCCAGGTTGGCCTCCAGCTCCACCTTCTTCTCCTCAGCAAGGTTGGGGTCCCCAAGGTCTTCCACCAGCTGCCGCACGACCGGGTCCAGGCGCCGCATCGCCTTCTCCAGGTCCTTCCGCCGGAACTTGATCTCCACTGTACCTTCTGGCTCCAACACCCCACCTCTACAAGAAGGCACAAAATATAGCATTAGTTCTGTCTGTTTGTTACAATTATAATGGTAGCAATAATCTAGTCAGGACCAGACTATCCAGTGTTTCATATCATGTGCAACATGCCATGGTGAACGAGCAAGAATTAGCTCTGAATTAGTTATAAAGAATAAAAAAGAAGTTGTTATACATAAAATATGTCATGTATTCATGTTCGTCCAACTTCTAAATGTTCTAAATCAAGAACAGGCCATGGTGTAGAATGACATTCTATCAGCCAATTCACTTGACCAGTCTGTTTTGTATCTTAGGATGAAGTATAGAGTGTGTTGGACCAACTAACCTAGAATCTGAAGGACAAGGAAGTTAAGAAGATGCAGGAGAATGATACCAGGGATGAGTGGATGTAGGTTCAACTAACAAAATTCCCGTCATTTAGTACAAGAAGCATAGATTGCTGGGGACAAATTCTATCCCAAGACCCACACAGCGAACAAACAAATGCATTGTCATGAAATATGCCATTAGAAATCCTTGACAAGGAATTGTTTATCATCTTTAGGATTTTAACCTGTGGGATGTCATATGGCACCAGAAATGTCACTCACACATAGTACCAAAGTGTCAACATGTATCAACCCTGCCTGGATCCCGAGAGTGACAAGGTGAGGTGAGGTGAAATTGGGTTTAACGTCGTGCTTGAGAATATTTCGCTCATATGACGACGTGCATGCGTGTGTATGTGTAGGTGCGACTGCTTGTACTAGCCCAGACTTAAGCTGGTTTTATAGTGCTAGCCCACTGAGATACCATGCCGCAGTGAAGCATGAATACCCCACTCAGACACATTATACTGACTCGAGCCGACCAGTCCTTGTTGTACCCATTAATGCCGAACGCCAGGCAGGGACCAACAAGTACCATATTTTAACGTCTTTTGGTATGACGCGGTCGGGGATCGAACCCGCCCCCGACCTTCCGGGCGACGGACGCTCTAACCACTACACCACGGAGGCAGTTCCGAGAGTGACAAGCCAATGCTTTAACTGCAACCCTACTGCTGTTACTCCTCACTCCGCTAATGATGTACCTGGACAGCTGGTCGGCAAACATCTCCATGTGGGTGGGGTTGATGGTGGGGTCGACCACCACCCATGCCCCGCCCCTCAGTTCAGCATAGGGAGGGATGTAGATTAAGATAGGCTGCTTGTAGTCCACTAGTCCATCCACGATGTAAGATCCAAACTTGAGGACTTGGTCGTACATGTCTGCAGTCACAAATATCAGTGTTTTCTCAATAGATTTCAGTTTGTTGTCTGAATCTACACACTGCAATATTCCAGGTATATATACACATGATGGCAGGCTGTTGATAATACAGCCCCTACCAGACAATCCAGTGATTGCTATCATAGTAAGTGAATGAATGGTTTTACACTGCTTTGTTAGCAATATTCCAACAATATCATGGCAGGGGACACCAGAAATTGGCTTCACATATTGTACCTATATAGGAATCAAAGCCCGGTCTCCAGGATGACAAGGCGACGCTTTCACGACTAGGCTACTCCACCACCCCATAATCAATGTCGTTGAGTCTGACAACCTGATCCATTGAGTTTGTTCTGACAAGAGGTTGCTGGGGACCAGTTCTAACCCAGACTCCCAGAGATTGTTGATCTAACCCAGACACCCACAGATTGTTTATCTAACCCAGACACCCAGAGAGATCTAACCCAGACACCCAGATTGTTGATCTAACCCAGACACCCACAGATTGTTGATCTAACCCAGACACCCACAGATTGTTGATCTAACCCAGACACCCACAGATTGTTGATCTAACCCAGACACCCACAGATTGTTGATCTAACCCAGACACCCACAGATTGTTGATCTAACCCAGACACCTAACCCAGACATCACAGATTGTTGATCTAACCCAGACACACTCACAGATTGTTCATCTAACCCAGACACTCACAGATTGTTGATCTAACCCAGACACCCACAGATTGTTGATCTAACTTAAACCAGACACCCACAGATTGTTCATCTAACCCAGACACTCACAGATTGTTCATCTAACCCAGACACCCCACAGAGATGATCATGAAATACTGTTGATCATCAACAGCAGACCTTCCACCATCAACTAAGCCACCAGAAAAATTATCAGCTTTAGGAAGCAATGATCTTCATCTCTGGGAAATCTCATCACTATTCTAGCAGGATCTGTGTGGGGACATCACCTCACCTTTCATGCCCCCCGAGAATCCTCTCCAGTTGGCGAAGATGATGAGAGGCAGCTGCTCACGGTTGAAGTCCTTGATGGCCTGGGCTGTCTTGAAGGCGGAGTCAGGGAACCACACCTGCCCGGCTTGTTGTGTTGCCTGCAGCAGTGGAATAGTAGCATGGAGCTGGTGGTGGAGGACAATGGAGGGGAGGAAAGGAGTGGCAGGACAGACCAGTGCAGGATGGGACAGAAGAAAAGAGGAGGTTTGTTTTTATGGTAGTGTAACACCGCACTTAGCAATATTTCAGCTGTTGGCAGCAGTCTCGAAATAGTCTTGTCCAGACAATCCAGTGGTCAGCAGCATCCATCTACTTAACTGGGGTACAATGACATGTGTCAACCAAGTCAGCGAGTCTGACAAGCCGATCCCATAAGTTGTCTCCACGATGCAAGGACTGCAGAAGACAAATTCTAACACGGATCTTTATGAGTAAAGGACAGTGAGTGAGTGAGTTAGGTTTTACGCCGCTTACAGCAATACTCCAGCAATATCACAGCGGGGGATAGGCCATGGGGAATCGAACCCGGTCTTCAGCGTGACGAGCGAACACTTTAACCACTAGGCTACCCCACCGCCCCAAGAGTAAAGGACAGGATATAATGGGATAGGATGGGAAGGGACTGGACTGAACGAGACAAGACAGAGGAGGTAGGGTGGGCACCTTGTGACAGGTGCTTGCTAGTATGAATTGGGGTAAAATCTCCTTTAGAACCTGATGCAGTTAGTTCTTCTTTGAACTCTATTACAGTCCTGGTGCCAGGTTCATGTGGCAGGATACACAAAATTGACACAAGCCATAATTGTTTGTAATTTAGTAAAACCCATCCACCTGAATCATGAAACCAAGGTCCAAACCAGCCCACAATGGATCCTTGCACACCAAGGGGAGACAAAGGGCTACCTGTGCCCTCCAGCTTATATGGAACATGTGACTGAGCACATCTAGTGCAGACATGACATACAAGTTGCTACACTGCTACTGCATCAACACTTCAGTAAATGAAAGCTGACTGCTGTGAGAGTGTCGTACCTTAGATTCTGAGTCGAGGTTAGCCGGATCAGCTGGGACGACGACCTCCACGGACCGAGTCTCCACACTCACGACACCAACAGGAATACCTCCCAGTCTGATGGAACACACAAAATATACACTCATTCATCATCTGTACTAAAACAATATTATTACTGACATATTTTCATGAAAATTGTGAATACACCACACTTTTGGGTTCTATTTTCAGGGACAAATTTCGAATATATACTATATTGCATTACTTTAGGTGAAGAAGCACTCAACAATTTTACAGCTATATGAAGGGGGTCTGTAAATAAACAAGTATGGACCAGGGAATCCAGTGTTTAACAGTGAGTGAGTGAGTTTAGGTTCACGCCGCACTCAGCAATATTCCAGCTATATGGCAGCGGTCTGTAAATAATCGAGTCTGGATCAAACAATCCAGTGATCAACAGCATGAGCATTGATCAGCGCAATTGGGAATTCGAACCGATGACATGTGTCAACCAAGGCAGCAAGCCTGACCACCCGATCCCGTTAGTCGCCTCTTACCACAAGCATGTGTTACTGAAGATCAATATTTTAACCCAGACCTTCACGGGTACAGCATGCACATCGATATACATAAATGGGTACGTGAGTATGGTTTTACGCCACTTTTAGCAATATTCCACCAATATCACGGCGAGGGACACCAAAACAGGGCTTCACACTATATGCAAATGGAATACAATGACGTGTCAACCAATTCAGCGAAGTCTGACCACCTGATCCCGTTAGTCGCCTCTTGCCACAAGCATGTGTTGCTGAAGACCAATTCTAACCCAGATCTTCACAGGTGTATTACTTAAGGTGAATAAATAGGAGACAACACACGTGGAGAATTGATAATGTGTAACTGGTGATAACCTTTTTACCAAACATGATGATTTACAATTTCAGTTATATTTTCTGTATGCTAAGAATAAGAATTAAGATCAAGAATACTATCAGCAACTGTCCTGTGAGATAAACCAGTATGGCAATCAGCAGTATACACCTGATCTGCTACAAGTGAGTGATTTGGCAATATTCCAGCAATATTCCAGCAATATCACGGTGGGGGACACCAGAAATCGGCTTCACATATTGTACCCATGTGGGGATTCGAACCCGGGTCTTCGGCATGACGAGCCAACGCTTTAACCACTGGGCTACCCCACTGCCTGATCTGCTTCAAACTGATATGTATGGTCAAGTCTGTCACAACTTGCAGTGAAACATTGTTCTCTACACTAGATGTATAAGAGAATTTTTATTTTCAATTTGGAATATAATTTGTAGACATGGCAGAGAATATGTGCAATACAGCTGTCAGAGAACCATGAGTTATTTACCTGGCCCTGCCAACGACTACTGTTTGAGCCCATGGGTTGAGAATCTCCATGAAGGAATCTTTGTCAAAGAAGCCACTCTGCCACTCGCGTGTCTCTACAAAACACAACTCAACATTAATCACTTATATCCATAGTCATTCCGTCTCTCTCATGAACACTCTTTCAAGTCTTCAATGTTTCAAACCAGGGTCCTGTTTCACAAAACAAAGATGGCTTAGGACAGTTGATGTAACAGTACCTAAATATCAACTATTGTAGTTGCTTGTAGGATACAGAAAGATCCATTCAACAAAGCAGTCCTAGTGCTACAATTGATGTAAGTGTATGTTTGAGTATGGAAGCTATGGTTGTCTTTGTGCTAAGATGACAAGAGTAATGGAGTCAGTGCAATGTATCAGATATTACACAGACATATATGCACACACACACGCACAGAGAGAAAGACACACACGCAGAAACATACACACTTTAATAGCAAAAATGTTTCTAAAACTACACAAAAACTTAGCACATGACTTACCATTGTCCTGCTAAGATGGGTTTTTTGGCATGAGTGTCTTAACATTTAACACAGCATCTTATGGTTGGTATTTGGTTGTTTAATGCCACACTCAGCAATATTCCAGCTACATGGTGGCAATCTGTAAATAATTGAGTCTGGACCAGACAATCCAGTGATCAACATCATGAGCATCGATCTACGCAACTGGGATCCAATGGCGTGTCGACGAAGTCAGTGAGCCTGACCACCCGATCCAGTTAGTCGCCTCTTATAAGAATGGGTTACTGAAGATCAATTCTAACCCAGATCTTCACGGGGACACATTTACCCCTCAGCTCCATGTACCAACATAAGGCAACACTACAAACAGACAACACTACAAACAGACAACAGTGGGGTGAAAAGGTCTTACCTGGATTCATTCGGCCTGACAGCATCCACCGTACATCATATGGGGCCTTAGTTGGAACAAAGCTCACATCTCTGTCTACTGGGTCATAGGACGGAATTATTGGTAGAGGTCCGTTTGTTTTCTGAACACAGAGGAACATCTATTATCAGGAAACTCAGCAAAGTCAATAAACAAAGTTGTGTAAAAGCTCGTTAACCTATTTGTAATGTTTAACCCCACTCTTGTCAACAGTCCAGGTAGCAGTCTGTAAATAACTGACTGGACCAGACCAGTGATTCACATCATGGGTCTTAATCAACAAAGTCGGCAAGCCTGACCACCTGTGTCTTATGACAAGCTGAAGTAGCTGAGGACAAATTCTAACCTGCACCTGTAACCTGTAAAAGTCTTAAGCTAACTGGGAACTAGTGTTCAGGCCAATAGCTGAACTTGCTTGTGTAAGGCGTTATCATCAACATCTTGGCACAGAGGTAAACAATCAACAGACAAGATGGCCGCTAAATAACAGTCAAGGACATCCCAAAGGCACAGAGCCAAGATGGACACTAAACACCACTGTTGGACATACGGACGACATGCCAGTAAGCGTGTTTAGTTTTATGCAACTTTTAGCAATATTCCAGCAATATCATGGCAGGGAACACCAGAAATGGTCTTCACACATTGTACCCACGTGGGGAATCGAACCTGGGTCATCAGCGAGCAGACGCTTTACCATTAGGCTACCCCATCGCCCCACTGATGACTTAGATAGCCACCTGAACAGAATAGCAAGGACAGAGACGAGATAGTCTCTAACTAAACACTGTAGGACTTACCAGAGGCATGTAGGAGAGCCACTGGAGAATTTTACAGCAGCCCTCGAAGTCATCCGGCACCACATCATGGGAGACTCCATTGTTGTGCATGATCTGTATGCCACCAAGCTGGTTGTTGCTTGTGTACACTTCTCGCCCCAGTACCTGAAACGTCATATACACTCACTGACAAGTACCAGACAGATCATGCTTGCTCGTTATCAAGCACAAAGAAGAAAATTGGTAGAACATTTATTCCTTTGAACCAGCTCCTGTCACAAGCCTACCTTATTGAGTGCCCCAGCTCCTGTGAGGATGATATGGGAGTTCTCCACCTGAATGATCCTCTGTCCAAGTCTCACTAGGTAAGCACCGATACCAATGGCTCTACAAGTGACGAGGTTGATGGTGATGACCTCATTGTAGGCTGTGGAGGTTTCCCCAGCAATCATACCTGACCCTCTCAGGTTCTCCACACCCAGACCATCATCCTTACCTGGGGAAACAAACACAGGTGAAACAATTACCTGGGGAAACAAACACAGGTGAAACAATTACCTGGGAAACAAACACAGGTGAAACAATTACCTGGTGAAACAAACCTAGCTGAAACAATCACTGGTGAAACAAGGTCACCTGGTGAAACAAACACAGGTGAAACAATTACCTGGTGAAACAAACACAGGTGAAACAATTACCTGGTGAAACAAACACAGGTGAAACAATTACCTGGTGAAACCTGGTGAAACAAACACAGGATGAAACAATCACCTGGTGAAACAAACACAGGTGAAACAATTACCTGGTGAAACAAACACAGGTGAAACAACTCACCTGATGAAACAATCACCTGGTGAAACACCTGGTGAAACAAACACAGGTGAAACAGGATGAAACAATCACCTGGTGAAACAAACACAGGTGAAACAATTACCTGGTGAAACAAACACAGGTGAAACAACTACCTGTTGAAACAATCACCTGGTGAAACAAACACAGGTGAAACAACTACCTGATGAAACAATCACCTGGTGAAACAAACACAGGTGAAACAATTACCTGGTGAAACAAACACAGGTGAAACAATCACCTGGTGAAACAAACACAGGTGAAACAATTACCTGGTGAAACAAACACAGGTGAAACAACTACCTGATGAAACAATCACCTGGTGAAACAAACACACAGGTGAAACAATTACCTGATGAAACAAACACAGGTGAAACAATTACCTGGTGAAACAATTACCTGGTGAAACAAACACAGGTGAAACAATTACCTGGTGAAACAAACACAGGTGAAACAACTACCTGATGAAACAAACACCAGTGAAACAATCACCTGGTGAAACAAACACAGGTGAAACAATCACCTGGTGAAACAAACACAGGTGAAACAACTACCTGATGAAACAATCACCTGGTGAAACAAACACAGGTGAAACAACTAACTGATGAAACAATCACCTGGTGAAACAAACACAGGTGAAACAAACCTACCTGGTGAAACAAACACCTGGTGGGTGGAAACAAACAATCACCTGGTGAAAAACTGGTGAAAACACAGGTGAAACAAACACCTGGTGAAAAACAATCTACCTGGTGAAACAAACACAGGTGTGAAACAACTACCTGATGAAACAATCACCTGGTGAAAAACATGAAACACTGGTGAAACAATCACCTGATGAAACAAACTACCTGATGAAACAATCACACTGGTGAAACAAACACAGGTGACCTGATGAAACAATCAGGTGAAACAAACACACCTGGTGAAACAAAAAACAACACCTGGTGAAACAACTACCTGGTGAAACACCTGGTGAAACAATCACAGGTGAAACAAACTGGTGAAACAAACACCTGGTGAAACAAACACAGGTGAAACAATCACCTGGAAACAATCACCTGGTGAAACAAACACAGGTGAAACAATCACCAATCTGGTAAAACCAAACACAGGGGAAACAAACACAGGTGAAACAATCACCTGGTGAAACAAACACAGGTGAAACAATCACCTGGTGAAACAAACACAGGTGAAACAATCACCTGGTGAAACAAACACAGGTGAAACAATCACCTGGTGAAACAAACACAGGTGAAACAATCACCTGGTGAAACAAACACCTGGTGAAACAACAATTGTGACATTCCAATGAAACACCTGGTGAAACAAACACAGGTGAAACAATCACCTGGTGAAACAAACACAGGTGAAACAATCACCTGGTGAAACAAACACAGGTGAAACAATTACCTGGTGAAACAAACACAGGTGAAACAAGTACTTGGGAAAATAAGCAAGTGAAACAAGTACCTGGTGAAACAAAAACAGATGCAGCAATTACCTGGGAAGTACATAGGTACAACAATTGCCTGGGTAAAACACAGCTGGAACATTGTGACATTCCAATGTCTGCGATAGGGCAAGTGTTGTGAGAGAACTGGCTGACATACCTATTACATCTGTGAGCTTGTATCGAGATTCTCCCTGATCCTCTATCAGCTCTGCTCTCACGGAGTTCATGGCACTGACTTTCTTGAAGTCGTCAGGACGCAGGTACAAATACTTGAAACCCTACACAGAAAAGTGCGTAGATAAGCCAAAATGACGCTAATAACATCTCTCCCCCAAGAATGGTAAATAGTGGTGATGGCAATTCATTCAAATGCTGGACACAAAAAGTCTACAATTTCTATCATTTGAAATACATTTTCATTTTAAATACAATTTTTTTGCAGTACAAAGAAATCTTGAAAAACACTTTCCTCAATAACACATCTTGCAATAACTGAGATAATTATGAAAACATTGTACAATCACTAACCACCGTTAACCAGTATATAACATTCTAAATTTCTATTTATGTATTGACATTCCCCAACACAAGCTCCACGGAAAGTGTCTTGTGTCGTACCTTGTTGGGATCTTTGGGATCCACCCATGCAACACGGAACAGGTGCTTGATCTCCTCAGCCAGGCCAATACGTGCACCACTGTTGGCAGACAGGTAGATACGGGGAATGCCCAGCTTCCTGGATAACTCGGATGCTTTCTGTAATGGAGTGAGTGAGTTTAGTTCTATGCTACTTTTAGCAATATTCCAGCAATATCCCGGCAGAGGGCACACATTTTACCCATGTGGGGAATCAAACCTGGGTCGGTGTGATGAGTGAAAATACAACAATAAACATCAATAGAAACATCCAGCCATCAATATCCTCCACCTCTTGGTTTTATCAGTGTAGTACTGACCTTGAACAGCACGTCTTCTTGTGGACCAAATGATCCAATCTTGTGGGTCATGTCGTTGGAAATGACAATAATATCTCGGCCGTCCTGGAACTCTGGCGTCTTCAAGGTCATCTTCCATGCCACCATACCATTCTATCAACAGCAACATCCTTACAATCAGTACATGACCTAATATAGAACATGACCTTATGTAGTACATGACCTTATATAGTACATGACCTAATATAGAACATGACCTTATATAGTACATGACCTAATTATAGCACATGACCTAATATAGCATATGACCTAATACATAACATGACCTTATATAGTACATGACCTAATATAGAACATGACCTTATATAGTACATGACCTAATATAGTACATGACCGAATATAGTACACAACCTATTATCTTGCCTGACATAAATGGTGTTTTCTGATTGGCTGAGCACTCTTCTATTATTTTCAATGTATTATCTTACAAGCAAGTAACATTTTCTACTCCATACTATGATCCGATACCAGTGCGTCAAACAGTTCAAAATTACCATTGAGGTGTTTGATAGATAAATAAGTTGTTCACTGGTCCCTCGATGCCCATAGGGTTGATGTACCCTCAATGTTTCTTTATGTTCCCCTTGCCCTTAGGGCTCAGGGAACATAAACAAACATCAAGGGTACATCAACCTATGTCCCCCTCGAGACCAGTGAACAAGTTATACTATAGTACATGATCATATATAGTACATGACCTAATATAGTACATGACCTTATATAGAACATGACCTAATATAGAACAAGGCCTTATATAGAACATGACCTAATATAGAACAAGACCTTATATAGTACATGACCTAATATAGTACATGATCTTATATAGTACATGACCTAATATAGCAACAACAGGTTGGATCTGAAGTACAGGGGATATAATTTTATAAAGAGTTGACGTGACTAGGGCCAAAAGCCAAAGATGTTGCCAAATATTGGAAATTTTAATATAAATTTAGACAAACCTGTAGAGGTTTACAATTCTTTGAAGAGAATCGTCCTTGGGGTACATATATGCATTTTCTGCGGCTGAAAATGTCCTGTGACAGTTGTATCAATGTTTTAATAAAAATATTGTACAATAAATAAAATCTTTTTTTATCTATTATATGGCCCCCACCACATGGAGTTACCTCTACTAACTAACACCAACTGAATTTCTGTAAATCTTTCCTTGAATCTTCTTAAATGCACACAATACAATATTATTCATCAGTCCTGAGCAGTCAGTGTACAAAACTTCTAAACTACTTAACTGATCTCTTGGGATCCATCCATATAGATTTTAGTGTTCATATACATATGCCATTATTATTCATTAAGAGATATAACAAGCTATTGTCTAGGTAAGCAAGCATACCTCATTCTCCCCTGGAAGCCTCTTCTGCATGCACAGGTTGCCATGACTGTCGAGGACCAGTTCTGTGGAAGTGACGGCGTCGGTGGGCATGTCTTTAGGCGTCAGATGATTGCGCTGATAGTGCTCCTTCCACAGCTTCATCAGGGACTGTCAACAATTATAGACTGTCAGGACAACACATCTCTACACACCGGAGTGACATCATCACCAGCTGTCCATAAGACTTCCATGTCAGAACGTAGGTCAGAACAACCAATGTAAACAAACTATGACATGCAAATGGAAATAGTTTTTCACATTTGGGGTTATTTACTCAATGCAAATTACATTTCACAACATATGCCACCATGACGTTGACATAAAGAAATTTAGTAGGTCATGAACATACATTATTAGTTGAATGGACTGTGTAAGATAAAATAAAAAGTCACATCTCACTAGTGCTGGAGTGATTGATTATATAATCGGTCAATTGATCAATCTCGATTGTGTCAGCAGTTATCAATGGGCTGAAGAGACTAATCGATATTCATATCGAAAATGAAACAAACTAAATTTCAGTAAGAATGTTTCTCAATGTTTATTAAGTCAAGACATAAACAACTGCTGCAGTTTCTTGACTCGTAAAACTGCAATGTAAACAATAATCTGGTGTGCATCTCAACAGAAAGTATCAATGATCGCCTTGATTGTAGTATCAATCGGTGCCTGTTTCTTTTGCACAATGTTATCGTGCTTTAACGGTGGGGAGGATGATTACAATCGGTTATTGACCGTTTACTGGGCTCCTATTATCGACCTGCATATTGTGAGCAATAACCAGCACTACTTCTGACTGACCTGAGGTAGAGGTACTTGGTTGACCACAAGAGGGAGTGAGTGAGTTTAGTTTCATGCCGCCTTCAGCAATATTCCAGCTACATGGTGGCGGTATGTAAACAATCAAGTCTGGACCAGACAATCCAGTGATCAATAACATGAGCATCGATCTACACAATTGGGATACGATGACATGTGTCAACCAAGTCAGCGAGCCTGACCACCTGATCCCGTTAGTCACCTCTTACGACAAGCATGGGTTACTGAAGATCAGTTCTAACCCAGATTTCCATGGATCTCCAGATGACCACAAGCAACTGTGGATTGGAAAGTCAACCTGACCCCTATCTAAGACAGTCCTTACAACAACCATGGATTACCATCAAGCACAGAAAGCACAGGGTACCAGTAAGAGTCCGAACAAAACTGTCAAAACCTCACCTGTCGGAACATCTCCGGGAAATCATAGACGTAGGTGGTGCCCATTGACTGTGCCTGGAAGCGTTTGAGTTGCAGATGGTCCTTGGTGAGGTAGGGGGTGCTGATGAGGAGTCCATGAAGTGGCCCCTGCACGGCACCATATGCCTGGAACATCACCTGGCCCGTGCGGGGATCCGTCACCTCGCGGTACAGACTTATATCCAGGTAGTAACCACTCTCATTGGTCAGGAACAACCGGATTGGGAAACTTGTTCCATTGGTGGTAAGTCTGGAGGAGATGTAAACATGTCTTATAAAAGCTGCAGACTAAGGTAGGTACGAGGGGTCTAGCAAATTATCATTGCACTGCAATTGTTCATAGTTTGTTTAATGTTTCACTCCGCAATATTCCAGCTTTATGATGGTAGTCTGTATACAGTCAAGTCTGGACCTGACAATTATAAACATCTGTCTATCAACTGACTTGCCATGCATCACCAAGTCAGAAAGTCTGGCGCCCAATCTGGTCAGTTGCCGCTTACACAACCCAGATCTTCATTGGGACATAGTACAAGGGAAAAAGTTTATTCAGACGAAAAGGTAATACCATGCCGAAAAATATTATGACAGGGGTTGAAAAGTTTTTCAAAACTCAACTGGACACAGGTCCAGTAAACTTTTCAAATCCACTTGACCAAATATTAATTTCACTTGACCACAATTAACAATTTGGTTTCTTTTGCAAATAATCTTCATCACTTGGTAGCAATTGCATGTTTACTTCATCATCAAAATACATATATCAAAACATTTCAGTAGTTTGGCACTACTGTACCACGGTAAAGTTTAATGTGGATATTTACCTGACCGACCGGAGACTTCAACTCGACCCGGGCGTCAAGCAATGGTATTTTTCAACCCCTGATTATGACGACATATTCTATTCCAGTTTACTGATACCTGCACTTCATTCAGCATACAAAGATACATCAATTACAGCAAATTTAGAAATATCAGTCTTATCATATAATGTTTATCAACATTATTATGGAGTCCCAAATCCATACCTGATGGTAAACTTGAGTTCTGCGTGCAGCACTCTCATCTTCAACAGCCGACTGCCATACCTCATCACCATGCTCCTCACCGTCTCCTCCAACTAGGGGAGATAACACAGGCATTAAATACAGTTCTACATCACCATACTCCGCACCGTTTCCTCCAACTAGGGGAGATAACACAGGCATTAAATATAGTTCTACATCACCATACTCCACACCGTCTCCTCCAACTAGGGGAGATAACACAGGTATTAAATACAGTTCTATATCACCATACTCCCCACCGTCTCCTCCAACTAGGGGAGATAACACAGGTATTAAATACAGTTCTACATCACCATACTCCACACCGTCTCCTCCAACTAGGGGAGATAACACAGGTATTAAATACAGTTCTATATCACCATACTCCCCACCGTCTCCTCCAACTAGGGGAGATAACACAGGTATTAAATACAGTTCTATATCACCATACTCCCCACCGTCTCCTCCAACTAGGGGAGATAACACAGGTATTAAATATAGTTCTACATCACCATACTCCGCACCGTCTCCTCCAACTAGGGGAGATAACACAGGTATTAAATACAGTTCTATATCACCATACTCCGCACCGTCTCCTCCAACTAGGGGAGATAACACAGGTATTAAATACAGTTCTGTATCACCATGCTCCGCACCGTCTCCTCCAACTAGGGGAGATAACACAGGCATTAAATATAGTTCTACATCACCATACTCCGCACCGTTTCCTCCAACTAGGGGAGATAACACAGGCATTAAATATAGTTCTACATCACCATACTCCACACCGTCTCCTCCAACTAGGGGAGATAACACAGGTATTAAATACAGTTCTATATCACCATACTCCCCACCGTCTCCTCCAACTAGGGGAGATAACACAGGTATTAAATACAGTTCTGTATCACCATACTCCGCACCGTCTCCTCCAACTAGGGGAGATAACACAGGCATTAAATATAGTTCTACATCACCATACTCCGCACCGTCTCCTCCAACTAGGGGAGATAACACAGGTATTAAATACAGTTCTATATCACCATACTCCGCACCGTCTCCTCCAACTAGGGGAGATAACACAGGTATTAAATACAGTTCTGTATCACCATACTCCGCACCGTCTCCTCCAACTAGGGGAGATAACACAGGTATTAAATAAAATCAGTGGCAGAGTTTAGTGTGGAATAAAGCAAACTCTACAATTGTCTTGCAGGAATTGAACTGTAAATGTTATTCCGACTTACCTTTCCTGGCTCTGTGAGTGTCAGAGTTGGTACAAAGTTGAGGAAGATGTGATTACAATCAGTCTTCTTGGACTAGAACGAGAAAAAACCATATCACACCATGAAAGCAGCACATCACACCATATTCTAAAAGCAACAGTTCATGAAAACAATATCTAGGCTGGAAACACATTCTTGTTTTAATAACTGTCAAAAAGTAACTAAACTGAGAGAATTACAGGATGATATACTTTCCTCTTAAAATATTCACGTACATATGAAGCTGTCATGAGGAAGACATTACCTGAGGATGGGAGAAAGCCACTTCTAATGAGTCCATTGCTTCCAACAGAGTTCTCTCCCCTTCATTTTGCAGGTACTCAAAAGAAGCTTCCTGGAACACAGAACATCCCCATTAGACTGTAAAATGACCCCTGATATTCAATTGCATGTTATGTTGGGGTACAGTACAAATATGTACTCTTGATGAGGTCAGTCTGTGAAAACAAGGACCCAAGGACCGGAGCCCTGGGATGGCTTGACTGGACGAGTCCATAGCTCATTTTACCACACCAAAGTTTACTTTAAAGTTAAAGAAGGTTCTAAACTGTCCTGTGTTTTGTTACAGTAGTCTGCCTACTGTTAAATGTTAGTACCAGACAATCTCATAAATATGAAAATACATCAAACAAAGGTTCTTGTGAAGAATGTAGAAGTTGGTCTTCAGGTATAAGACAAAATATTATGGATGTCAACTTCTTTATTGTACATACGCAACATTTACATCCACTAAGGCAGATTTACATCCACTAAAGAGGGTTTACATCCACTAAGGCAGATTTACATCCACTAAAGAGGGTTTACATCCGCTAAGGCAGATTTACATCCACTAAGGCGGATTTACATCCACTAAAGCAGAGTTACATCCACTAAAGCAGAGTTACATCCACTAAGGCAGATATTACATCCGCTAAGGCAGATTTACATCCACTAAAGAGGGTTTACATCCACTAGGGCAGATTTACATCCACTAGGGCAGATTTACATCCACTAAAAGCAGATATTACATCCACTAAAAGCAGATTTACATCCACTAAGGCAGATATTACATCCACTAGGGCAGATTTACATCCACTTAACACTCATGCCCTGTCTGACTACAGGTATGTAGATCTATGCTGATTATAGAAGATGTCTCAAGCTCACCTTTGTGACGAGGTCGGAGTGTCTGATGATAGACCTCACAAATACACGATAGTCCGTGACCTCCTGCCCCTTGGCCACCTGCAGTGTAAGACATGATAATGATATAGATAATTCTGTTTAAAAATCAAAACCTGAATTTTGGAACCAGTAATCTAAATTGAAAAGTCTGTTACTTCACTTTCATAACATCAAACAATTTGTAGAAACCATCATACATAAACAAAATGCATGGACTAAATGAAGTCCAAGACAGTTGTGTCGATTGTACGTAAATACTTCGAGATATAATGAGAATAATGAGAATATATATAACGTGACTTTTCCAGGCTAGATATCCTGCTCAAAGTGCACAATCTGATCATTATTACCCCGGATAACCCAAGCTGCCTGTTAGGCGCTAGAAGGTTAATAGTCTCACGACTTATTTCACCGGGTACCCATTTCCTGCTGGGTGAACAGAGGCAATTGTGAACAAACTCACTTGCCTAAGGTGAGACCACATGTATCACATGCTTCATTGTGGGGCAGGACTGGAGTCCTAGAAACTCTCAGGAGTTAAGCTGCCAACACGGTCACCCATCCAAGGGCTGTCCGAGCCCAACGTTGCTTAACTTCAACTGATTTGTGACCTGACCGCTATGCACAGGACCATGTACCACCATATCCAAGGTTCAACACAAATGAAAAATAATACAAAAGGAGAGCCTAGAAAACGTTTACTTCGAGATAACTGTACACAGGTTCTAGACATTAATGCGCTAGTCGAACAAAAATGTTTCCATTCCCAATTAACTTGCAACTACAGTTAATGAATGCTGACCTTGGCCTTGCCGAGGTAGAGATGCATCATATAGTTGGCGGTAGGGATGGCCTCGAGGTCAAAGTTGCGGAGTCTGTTGATCTCGAGCTGGAAGGCCAGCGCTGGTTCCAAGTGACGGTAGATGCGATCCTCCTGGAACTGTACACACACAAAATCATCACCATGGGTCTCACATATTGTAATTGATCACACAAACACATTTGGGTGTGCACACATAAAGGCACAGAAATACAGACACGGTATTCTGACTTGAATGACTTATTTAACGCAACGTTCAGCAATATTCAGTCTGCGGTCTGTGAGTCATTGATTCTGGACTAGACAAATCCAGGGAGGGAGGGAGTGTGGTTGTACACCACTTTTGGCAAATAGTCCAGCAACATCAAGGCAAAAGACACCATAAATGGGCTTCATAACATTGTACTCATGTGGAGAATCAAACCTGGATCTTCAGTGTGAAAAGCGAACCCTTGAACCACTAGGCTACCCAACTGGTCCTTCCCACTCAAGTGACTGACATAATGAGACTCGATCTAATCAACTGGGACATGATGACATGGATCAACCAAGCCAGGTAGCCTGACCAACCGATTCATTTAGTTCTAGGACTGATTCAATGATGAATTTGACTTACAGCACTGTAAGAAACTACTGCCTACACGATCGCCCAAGACGGTTTAATTCTGTGGTGGGCTGGCAAAAAATAAATCTTACCAGCCCGACTGTCGGGCTCATATTTTATGTGTAATCATGAGAATCTTATCTGTGAGACTGCTTTTATAACAAAAACACTTGAGATGTATTAGTTGAGATTCGTGTCAAGTTGATTCAATTTTGTGGAATCCGTGTCAAGTTGATTACACTGAAGTAAGGCGAACATCTATTGCTCAATGTTAGTGAGTGAGCCAATCGTAAAAAGGCGATTGACAGTGACAGTAATGTAGAATGGCTGAAATTAAAGTTGGTCTGTTAACTTTTGGGAACGGCTGGTGATATTTCAGAGTTACCAGTCCTCGTGTCTGGTAGAATTTTCTGTCAAGTTTCCTAAACTGCTTACAGTATCAGCGGTTTCAACATACCTCAAACTTGGCTCTGAAGGTGAAGTATTTAGGTACTGTCCTCTGAAACAAAAACATAACCTTTTACAAGGATGTATCCATACAGTGATCTCATCCATGTCTCTATTAATTACAGTACTTTCACTACTTGCATGGACTAATAATTCACGCCATCCCTTCAGATGTTAGTGATTTTGACAAACTTAGATATGAATTAAAGGAACACATATTCTACAATTAAAACATGGTACAAATTATTATGCTTGCAATGATGTGGTCTTATGTACCCTCTCAGGGTGCTTTGAGTTGAAACTAAATTTACCGTAAAATCAATACATGTGGAAGCACTACTTTAGTAGCTTTATCAAGGACATATCAGATGTCATCCACGCTCATTTATGAAGCATATATATTAGGGGTGAAACGGTATACCGCGGTATTTTGCCTTTGGTTCAGTATACCGTAATGCAATCCAAAAATTCAGTATTTTCAGTTTTCACACCTTCATTTCTATCTAGTCATAAAATGACGGTTTTGTTCATTCAAAATAACAAAGATTATGGTTATGTCTTTCCATGTTTTTTAACAATGTAAGGTTTGGCTCTTGTTGTCAGTTTTCTGCATTATGATCATATCTCATATAACGAATCAAAATGGAAATGAACCGACTGACTGAGTTTTGTTTTTACACCGCTTTTAGCAATATTCTCACGGCGGGGACACTAGAAATGGGCTTCACACATTGTATGGGATTCGAACCGGTCTTCGGTGGGACGAGCCAACGCTTTAACCACTAGGCTACCCCACCACCCCGGAAATGAACCGAAGGCCTTGTACCGCAATATGTACTATACCATGGTAAGCGCACCTCTAGCATATATTTGCCATATCACAAACCGAGCCCTTTTCTGAAAGCCGAGCTCATGGACTTAAGTAGTGACAGTGAGGTAGTCATCCACTCACCTTATGTAGTACAACGAAGGTGACTCGGCGGATACCACGATCGTACATCATTTGTGCCTGTAAAATATCAATCACACAATGGTTGAGTTTGTTTCAATTCTTGGTCGGATCAGTATCTCAATGCTGCCATGGACATTTCAACATGTGCAGGTCAACAAAGGGGTAAATGTTTAACATGAAACAAGTGAAAAACTATCTTAAATGTATGAAGAGTTTCTATCCATAAAAGGTCAACATTAAATCTGCTCACTGAAGAATTGAATACTGTGCAATATAATTGTGTTTTGTTCACTGATTACAGCTGTTTTTGTGATTTTTACTGGTTTAAAAGGAATCAAAATTGAAACTTTTTCTGCAGAAAAGCCTTGCAAAAATATAGTGGTTATCTTATCTCTATCACAATGATGATGAGTGAGTGAGTGCTATATGGCGGCAGTCTGTTTAGGACAAGACAATCCAGTGATCAATAGCATGAGCATCGATCTACGCAACTGGGAACCCATGACATGTGTCAACCAATTCAGTGAGCCTGACCACCGATCCTGTTCATCGCCTCTTACGACAAGTATGGGTTACTGAAGATCAATATTCTAACCCGGACCTTCACGGGTATATCACAATGAGATCTGACTGGTAAACATGATCTTGTTAACATACTACATATGAAACAACATGAGAAAACCGACTGACCTTCTCCCGGCAGAAGAGATGGAACTGATTCGCCAGCTCGTCGTCCTCCATCTGGGAGTGGCAGCTGATGGCCACGTTGATGATGTGGATGGGGTCGTCCACGTCCGACATACTCTGTACAACAATCAACACATTAACGAGTGTTTACAGAATAAGGGCTATAGCTGTGTATGGAGTGGAGTGAGTGATTCTGGTATTATGCTGCTCCTACCAATATTCCAGCATTATCACATGGGGCCCATGAAGGGAATCAAACCCTGGTCTTCAGCATGACAAACTAACACTTAACCACTAGGCTACCCCACTGCCCCGATGTGAAATTAGGTTTAACACTGCATTCATGATTACAGCACTTAAAAGCAACATACAGGCCTAAACTGAGGTACTTAACACTTAAAAGACGTATGAAAGTATAAAAGAACATGTATGGTACAGGTAAACCAAGAATGTTAGGTTCCAATCAAACAAAAGCCAATCCTGACATATCAAAGGGAAGTAACTCTAACAAAAGCAATGCAATGATACTTACATGTACAGATGTGGAATCTTCAGCATTGAGGAAGCAGTGTTCTGACAACAGTGGGCTCGCTGGGGGTGTGTCGAGGGAGAAGCTCTCGATCAACTTGTCGAAATTCCTGTAATTACAAAAATCACAATAACCATTGGCATGGGCATTAAATTACCCTTGACAAAACACGGACCAAACCACATCATATTCATAGCATAACAATGTCAATCAAACATAATCTTTCTTTCGGATATATTTTTCACTTCCATAATCCCTCAAAGAAAAAGCAATCCAATACAAAATGTTATACTTTACATTTTGATTATAATTTTTGGCTGTGATCACTGAATCAGTAAACTATCAAAGTGAACTTACTTTTGGAAATCTGAAAATGAGGCGAAGGCAGCCATGACACCCATCCTCTGACAGATGGGGATCTCCTCTACTAGTTCATTGGCAAGAGAGACGTCCTCGTCCTCACTTGGCACTCGCATCAATGAACTCTCGAAGCGAGTCACCATCAACCTGTATGTAGTCAGGCAGATACATCAAAACATGTTCTGTTTGTTTACTATTGTTTAAATAAGTGAGTTTTAGTTTCACACCACCTTTAGAAATCATCCCGCAACATCACGGCAGGGGACACCAGAAATAGGCTTCACACATTGTACCCGGGTCTTCTGCGTGACGAGCGAAGACTTTAACCACGAGGCTACCCCACCACCCGGACTGTTGTCAAATACTGTGGTAAGCAATATTTAAGCAATATCACAGTGACCTGTGAATGATCCAGTCAGGGCCAGATGAACTAGTGGTTGATAAAGTGAGCAAACTGTCGTGCCATTTGGGTGTGAAATGTAAGACTTTGAATGATGTCATCCTTTTAAGCTGGGGACAAATTCTACCACAGAATTCACAAAAGGGCAACATATATGGACTGGACAAGTAATGTTCACGATCATACTTTCAGGGTTTTTCTTGTTTACAAATTTCTCTGCTCCGACTTCAAGTCAGAAAAAAAAAACATGAATATTTTAGTCCCTTAAATGAAAACATTGTGAATATCATTTCTATTTGTTCATAAATGCATAACACATGAAAGAATGTTATCATGCCAAAGAATGTTTGAATACATTTCATGCACATTATATCACATTTGCAACCCATTCAGATATGTGTTATGACAAGAATGTGGTCCTTGGATCTGAGCTCTCTATTGTACTGATTATGGAGAGGGTTGTGCTGTTGACACCGTTAGGGTGTGACCATATAACTACACACCTGTTAGGATGTGACAATGTAACTACACACCTGTTAGGATGTGACCATGTAACTACACACCTGTTAGGATGTGACCATGTAACTACGCACCTGTTAGGATGTGGCCTTGTAAAGGATGTGACCATGTAAAGGATGTGACCATGTAAAGGATGTGACCATGTAACTACACACCTGGTTGGGTGTGATCATTTAAAGGATGTGACCATGTAAAGGATGTGACAATGTAACTACACACCTGTTAGGATGTGACCATGTAACTACGCACCAGTTAGGATGTGACCATGTAAAGGATGTGACCATGTAACTACACACCTGTTAGGATGTGACCATGTAATGCACCTGTTAGGATGTGACATGTAACTACAGGAGGATGTGACATGTAAAATGTAACTCACGATGTGACCTGTTAGGATGTGACCTCGGCAGGAGAAACCTGAACTCCACCACTCTCAGCCCATCCTCCAGCATACAGTGTTGGAGGCAGTGCAGCTCGTAGGCGATGTAGGCACGGCGGACATATACCTGACACACAGACACAGGTTGCTGTTAGCATGGCATGAAGTACACAGAACCTTCTGCATCTTATGAAATATTCAGTATCTGTTTCCACAACAGCAGTGGACATGGCCTTGTTTTGTGCTCCTGATCATATCCCATCATCGCACGGATTTGGCATCAAAGAGTGCATGTGTACCCGGAACTGCAGATTCCCCTGGTGGGACATGTTTGGGACATTAAAGTCAATACTGAAGACATTGTAATGAAACTGGACCTCATTCCACCAAACAATTGTAGCACAGCGACAGTCTAAAGTGTGAAAGTAAGTTGGTTGGTCTGTTGTTTAACGCTACACTCAGCAATGTTCCAACTATATGGAGGCGGTCTGTAAACAATAGTCTGGACAGACAATCCAGTGATCAACAACAGAAGTATCGACACAGAGGAATGTGGAGTATTGGTATGGGTTATTAGACTGCTTAGTACTTTCTGCGATTCAGTGAGTGAGTGAGTTTAGTTTTACGCCGGACTCAGCAATATTCCAGCTATATGGCAGCGGTCTGTAAATAAACAAGTCTGGACCAGACAATCCAGTGATCAACAGCATGAGCATCGATCTGCGGAATTGGGAACCGATGACATGTGTCAACCAAGTCAGCGCAACTGACCACCCGATCCCGTTAGTCGTTCTGCGATTCAGATGGGAGTAGATTCTGAACACCAGTAACCACATACCTCCAGGGCAGCACTCTTCACCAAGTCATTGCTGTGAAAGAAGAACTCCTGCAGAACATCATAGATGGCGGTCTCCGAGTTGATCAGTTTCTGTTGAGAAGACGGACACGTGACATTATTCCTGCATTGAAACATGTTCAGCGCTATCTCCCAGCATGCACCACACCAGGTATTCACAAGCTTACAAAATGGAGAACAAAAGAAAAAAGGAAAACGAAAAAGGTTCTTAAACCCCACATCCACACAGCAATTGAAATTCAAAATGCAAATCTGAACAAAGGAACAATAACAAACTTTGAGATGATTATCCAAAGCTGTAACACAAATACATCACAGAAACAAGGTACCAAATGATCTTACAACAGTTAAATTTGGAAATACAGAATAGGAATCACTCGGTTACTCCCAGTCCCCGCCAGACAGAAATATTTGGGGAGCCATGTTACAAGTGAGTCAGTGAGTGAGTCTGGTTTGACTCGACTTTGAACAGTATTTCAGTTATACAACATGTGAGTTTGATGTCTTGGAGTGAGTGAGTGATGTCTTGGACTGACTGACTGACTGACTGAGTTTGGTTTTACGCCGCTTTTAGCAATATTCCAGCAACATCACAGCGGGAGACACCAGAAATGGGCTTCACACATTGTGCCCATGTGGGGATTCGAACCCGGGTCTTCGGCGTGACGGCCAACGCTTTAACCATTAGGCTACCCCACCGCCCGTGATGTCTTGGGTGAGTGAGTGATGTCTTGGAAAGCCCCAAGGGATTGATGTAGGTTTTAGATGTTTACCATCTTGGTAAAACCCATAAACTCGTGTATAGTGTTGACACTCTGGAGTGAGTGAGTTAGATTGGTTTTACGCCGCTTTTAGCAATATTCCAGCAACATCACAGTGGGAGACACCAGAAATGGGCTTCACACATTGTATCCCTGTGGGGAATCGAACCCAGGCATGATGAGCAAACGCTTTAACCACTTGGCTACCCCATTGCCCCGACAACTCTAGACACATAATCAGGATGAACTGGGATTGAACCACAGCTATGCATTTCTGGCATGCCTATCATGGCACATAAGACAGGATAAAGACAAGATACAGATAAACTTATGCATAACAGACTGGTAACCAGTGACCCAAAACAGGTTCTGTTGCAGAGTTCAGTATTTGTATGTTCCATTCAGTATTTACATTTCATACTTTGTACTGTCCTGTCGTTAGTGAGTTGCACTGGTGCTTTGACCAACATTCCAGTTACATCACAGCATGTCAGCCCCAAGCAATACAGGACACAGGCATTTACCTCTTCGGTAAATACACAGGCAAGTATGGTGCTAACAAACGCAGACACAGGGCAAACGGAGATTCAAACCAAAGGTCATTGGTTTCTGGTGGTCTCAAGGGACACAACTCTGCTGAGTGAATTGCGGCACAGTAACCGACTAAACCAGCTGAACCTCCACGCCTGAAAAGCTGTGATACAAAATAGGTGACTTTAATGTGAACAGCAAACTGCTGCCAAAGATATGTAAGAAACATGTGAAAGTTGTGCTGTATTTACCGGTACTTGGAGAAAAGGTCTTCACTGATTGGACAATCAGTGTTAACTATTTGTGCAGAGTATAACTATTTGTCATGTGTTTGTGAGTGAGTGAGTGAAAGTGAGCCAGTATTTCAGGCTTTTAAAAATGACACAAAGAATCATTACACATATGGTTCCTGCCCTTATCCAGTGACTGGAATAAGCAAAATTATTCCTAATTTACCGACTGTCTACTTGAAAACTTTTGTGGTCATTAATGTATTTCTTTGGATTGTCAGTGTAGAGTGAGTGAGTGAGTTGAGTTTTACGCCGCACTCAGCAATATTCCAGCTATATGGCGGTGGTCTGTAAATAATCTTGTCAGTGTAGAAAAACACCTTTAAAAAGTTGAGTTATCTTAACAATGCATAGTTAGGACCTTTTAGAAGTGTCCATGTCATTAGTCTATCTCTGAGAACAGATCAATCATCAGTAAACATTACGATGAATCGCTTTCCCAACTGCTTGTTTTGTTTACTCATTTTACCAGGAATTCGAAGACATGAACTGGAATTTTAAAAATTCATCTGAATTTGAGGACATGATCAATTTACTTTCCCATAAAGGGTCAAGACGGGCAAACAACAAAGAAATCCTTCCTAAAAAAGTATCTTATCATCAACAAGTTCTCCATGCCAAGAATAAAGTATTGGAAACAAACAAGTTCAAAATACTTGCTCAGCAATATTTCAACTATATGACAGTGGACTAATTAATCAAGTCTGGACCAGACAATCCAGTGATTGACATCATGAGCATCGATCTATGCAAATGCTGCATGATGACGTACATCAAAGCCTGGCAACCCAAACATGTTAGTAACTTCTTACGACTAGCATGGGTTGCTAAAGGAAATTTCTACCCCAAACCTTCATGGGTCATTTCACGGATATTCATGGGTCTCAAGCAGTGCCCTCTGATAATTTAAAGTAAGCAAACTGCAAAAGTAATTCCCATGGAGCTGAAAATGCAATGTTCATTGCTCACTGATCTGCATAATCTTGCTAAATTTCTTAAACATGTGTTTGAAGGTATAAAACTAAAGAAAGTAACTCTGTAAAATCTTATGTTATATTGTACATTTGTACTTTGTGTCATATGGCCTTTCTACAAATAAAAATCTTGAATCTTGAGCGGCATAATAATGCACCACTTCAGGCATATATTGCCTGCATATTGAGTCACGCGCTTTACAAACATATAATTATTAATATTAAATTCTGATATGAAAGTAAGTAAGACAAGGTTAACTATATGCCTCAAGACTTTCGTACAGTGGATCATCAATGAACATAATTAATATCCCACATATTTCATATTTCTGAAACCATAAATCCATGATATTTTTAAATGCTACAAAAGGAAATATTCCTACTCATTTATGTGTGTCAAGTAATATTGGGGGGCTCTAATTAAAACCACAACTAGTGGGTTTAATTTGTTGTCAAGCATTAAAGAGAAAAACCCTACGAAACTAAACTTTTTGATAATACTATGAGGCAATTTCATATGCCAGTGATACCTTTGTTAGTTAATAGATAAAAAAGATACGGACTGTCATGCACATTTTTTCACTTAGTATTGCAAACTAGACTGTAAATTGGTTAAGGGATGCTTACTTGGGTAGGGGCCACACGCAGCTACGCTATGTTGCCATAGGAACCTAATCAAAATCATGGATGCATTAAATCTGAATTATTACCGATGTCAAAACTGCGTAGAAATCAAGCACAGAGTATGCATGAGAATGCCATCTTACAAGCTGCATAGAGAAAGATTATTAAGCACAATAAGCAGCATATTATCTTAAATTTTACAGAAGTATAATTTGATCAAGTTGAAGAAGCAGATATTACACAATGACTACTACATTGTCCATAGTTGATCTTTCTTGAGATATCGTTTATGAAGTTAATTAAAATTCTGATAAAATATTTTCAAGAAGTGCTATAGAAAGTGAGAGAATGCTCTGTGAGGGTGGAGATAGAAAGTGTATTTAGATATCATTAACAACATTGATTAGTTAGCAAAGCTTGGGAGGAATCATGCTGTTTTCTGCTGTTATTAACAACAGTTGATATCAAAGCATACAAACGTGAGACTTTATTCATTAACCATACACAATGAATTATTTATTATTATCACCTTTACGTTTGAGACCCTCTTGAAATCATTAAGGCACATCACCTACCAAAAATGATCAAAGTGCACTTTAATAATTCAATAAAGTTTAAGCTGTCAAACTATTCTATGAAACTATCAAGTGTCTATATATCTGAGGTGAGGTGTAATTGGGTTTAACGTCGTGCTTGAGAATATTTCGCTCATATGACGACGTGCATGCGTGTGTATGTGTATGTGCGGCTGCTTGTACTAGCCCAGACTGAAGCTGGTTTTATAGTGCTAGCCCACTGAGATACCATGCCACAGTGAAGCATGAATACCCCACTCAGACACATTAAACTGACTCCGAGCCGACCAGTCCTTGTTGTACCCATTAATGCCGGGCGCCAGGCAGGGACCAACAAGTACCATATTTTAACGTCTTTTGGTATGACGCGGTCGGGGATCGAACCCGCGACCTTCCGCTCTCCGGGCAGACGCTCTAACCACTACACCACAGAGGCGGTCTCTATATCTGAGTGAGTAAGTTAGGTTTTACGCTGCTTTTAGCAATATTCCAGCAATATCACGGCGGGGGACACCAGAAATGGGCTTCACACATTGTGCCCATGTGGGGATTCGAACCCGGGTCTTCGGCGTGACGAGCGAACGCTTTAACCACTAGGCTACCCCAACGCCCCTCTATATATCTGAGAAATAGAAACCAATATATTGTATATACAGAATACTCTACCAATTTCATATACCATGTATATCACAAGTTGTTTCATAATGCATTAACTAGCGAAATTGGCACAGATACACTTGAGACAAGCCAGATCTCACCTTCAAACCACCCAATGCTTAGTCCGCTCTCCTAAGAGGACCATATATTCCATAATGAAAATACATCAGTGTAGCTCATGATAGAGATTACAATAGCATACCAATAACATACCATATATCATCTGCATATCACAGGTGAAAGCTAAACAAGTTGAAACATAAATGGTATCTGATAGGCACAAGTGCAGTGTTTCTTACACACCTTAAAATCGCACCGATTTTAGTATCAAATCAAGATACATTTGATATATTCCTAAGATCACAGCAGCATTAATACATCAATGGTCACTTCTGACGTTATCTGGCCTACTGCTTCGTACTCATACCTCGGGTGACCCCCATGTCTTACCTGTGGATTATCAATGCAAATACGAGTATGATAATGGGGACAAGATAACACCTCTCATTTATGAATACTCTGAAACCATAAAGTTTGAACACCGACATAAGTGAGTTCGACCCAAGCATCAATCTGTTACAATCCTGAATGTAGGCCATCATAATCTGTCTTTAGGTCATCACCATTAAGTAACTAATCATGGATCTGGAATTTGCTTTCACACACGTCATACGAATTTTCTCAAATGGGTCTCTTACATACAGGTGTGTAGGAAACTCTGGGCATATCAAAGTGAAAAGCATATCTGAAGCTGATAAACAAGCAGCCAGATAAGCTGATTTTAGCACTGGGTAGAGCTACCCATACAAGCCTGTCGACAGACGAATTGATTCTGCACTAAACATACCATGTACTGCTATTCTATCACTATTAATGTAAAGTGTACTATGATCAGTACTTAACAATGAAAAATTTAAGAAAAAAATGTAAGAAATCTGCCCTTCTAACCAGCAACAAATACAAATAATGAGCTAGTATCATATTTCCCCGTTTGCAATTTACCAGCAAATCAAGGCACTGGACACCAGCAATTTGGCCACACACATTGTAAGCATATGGGGAATCCAACCCCGATGAATGATTCTTTATCGCTCCCAATACCTTAACCATGATGATGACGTCATGCTAATGTTCTGATGGCATCACATCGGATTGTATTTGATTCAAGTCAGGATTTCCCTTGCCATTTCGATTGTGCCTTCTTAACAAGTAGGAAGGCATTTCCTATTCTCGCGGTACTTACGGATATCAGCTGAAAAAATAACACAAACAATTCTTATCATATGAATGCGTGTTGTTTTTAAATGAAGGGCCTTCTCCTCTAACATCTACATCTATCAGCTGCCAGATCCATCAGGTGAATTACCACTCGTGAGCCCGGTGATAAACAATGCCATCCGCCACTGATGAAATGAGGCTTCTCCCATTCTCCGCGTTATAACGAGGAAGTGATGTTATGGAGTGTATGGAAGAGCAATCCTGACAGCAAGGGCGGGATAAAGTTAAGATACATCTAAGTTGGTATAAACTCATCAATATTCGTGACATTGCAAGATTTTGATCACTCGCAGATTTGGGCCACTACGAAAATAGGAAATCCGTGAGAATACAAGACGGAACTATAATACTAACTAGTTATTATGTAAAAAAATATATCAACTGGCTACGGAAACTGTGACCTTGAATAAATCATATCATGAGTGTGGACAAGTTGAAAAGCCACTTTGAAAAGCCAATTGTTTACCACTTCACTGAAACCCAAAACAGACAGGCCAAGAATAATCTATCAGGAATGATCCAGGATTCGGACATATCTGAAGGCCAACAGTGTGTAGGTGACCTCGTCAGAAATGGTTGTAAACTGGTATTAGGCCATGTATTATCTATATCTGTAAGGATGTCAGATCTGATAACAGTCGTTAGAGTGAGGAGATAATATCGCATTTAAATGTTTTGTACTTACATAACAATTGTGGGCATACATGTGTCTGTGTGTTGTGTTGTGTTGTGTTGTGTTGTGTTGTGTGTTGTGTTGTGTGTTGTGGTGTATGCTGTGGGTGTGTTGTGGTGTGTGTGTTGTGTGTGTGGTGTGTATGCTGTGTTGTGTGTTGTGTTGTGTGTGTGTGTGTTGTGTGTGTGTTGTGTGTTGTGTGTGTGTGTTGTGTGGTGTGTGGTGTGCTGTGGTGTGTGTTGTGTTGTGTGGTGCTGTGGGTGTGTGTGCTGTGTTGTGTTGTGCTGTGCTGTGGGTGTGTGTGTTGTGTTGTGGTGTGCTGTGTGGTGTGTGTTGTGTTGTGGTGTATGCTGTGGGTGTGTTGTGTTGTGTGTGTGTGTGCTGTGGTGTGTGTTGTGTTGTGTGTGTTGTGGTGTTGTGGTGTGTGTGGTGTGTGTGTATGCTGTGGTGTGTTGTGTGTGGTGTGTGCTGTGTTGTGTGTTGTGTTGTGTGTGTGTGTTGTGTGTATGCTGTGTGTGTGTGTTGTGTGTGCTGTGTGTGTGTTGTGTTGTGTTGTGTATGTGTGTGCTGTGTGTTGTGGTGTGTGTGTGGTGTGTTGTGTGTATGCTGTGGGTGTGTGTTGTGTGTGTGTGCTGTGTTGTGTGTGTATGTGTGTGGTGTGTTGTGTGTGTGGTGTTGTGGTGTGCTGTGGTTGTGTGTGTGTGGGTGTGGTGCTGTGTTGTGTTGTGGTGTGTGCTGTGGGTGTGTTGTGTGTGTGTGTGTGCTGTGTGTATGCTGTGTTGTGTGTGTTGTGTGTGTTGTGTGTGTTGTGTGTGTGTGCTGTGTGTTGTGTGTGTGTGTGTGTGTGTGTGTGTGTGGTGTATGTGTGGTGTGTTGTGTTGTGTGTTGTGTTGTGTGTGTGTGTGTGTTGTGTGTGTGTGCTGTGTGTGTGTGTGTTGTGTTGTGTTGTGTGTGTGTGTGGTGTGTGGTGTGTTGTGTGTGTGTGTGTGTGTGTTGTGTGTGGTGTGTTGTGGTGTGTGTGTGTATGCTGTGTGTGTTGTGTTTGTGTTGCTGGTGTGTGTGTGTGTGGTGTGTTGTGTGTTGTGTGTGTGTGGTGTTGTGTGTGTGTGTTGTGTGCTGTGTGTGTTGTGTGTTGTGTGGTGTTGTGTGTGTGGTGTGTGTGTGTGTTGTGTGCTGTGTTGTTGTGTGTGTGTGCTGTGTTGTGTGTGCTGTGGTGTGTGTTGTGTATGCTGTGTGGTGTGTGTGTGTGTGTGCTGTGGTGTGTTGTGTTGTGTGTGTGTTGTGTTGTGTGGTGTGCTGTGTTGTGTTGTGTTGTGTTGTGTTGTGTGTGTGTTGTGTTGTGGTGTGTGCTGTGGGTGTGTTGTGTGTGTGTGCTGTGTGTGTGTTGTGTGCTGTGGGTGCTGTTGTGTTGTGTTGTGTGCTGTGCTGTTGTGTGTGCTGTGGGTGTGTGTGTTGTGTTGTGGTGTTTGCTGTGGGTGTGTTGTGTTGTGTTGTGTGTGGTGTGGTGTGGTATCAACAGGCACCATCTTCTAACAAATAAGGGTATGATGTGGAAAGACATCAAACCAGCAACTTTCCATTCTCAGGGCAGACACACTATCCACTTACCCTCCGAGGCAGTCTACCAATCAGTATATACCATACAGCACATGAATGTACCCTACATAGCTGAGTAAAAGTCTAACATTAAATAGTCAGCCATATTGAAATTTGGTTTCAGAAGCTATTCATGAGTGGCGGGGGGCGTCCGGCATTTATACGTCAGTAGGTCTTGGACCAATTGAGCCAAGAGTAATTATAAAAACATAAAAGAATAAATGAATAAATTTCAAATTTCACAGCAAACAGTTCAAACCATGTATATGGCCCGCGGCATATCCTGGAACAGAAACACAAGTTTATGCTTCATGGCAACCATAGGCAGACCATTCATGTGTTACAATTAAAGCAGCACTGACCAGTTAATAACCAGCTAGAGAACTGCACATATAAACAGTGCAATATCACAACATCACAATCACTGCATCACAATCACAACACCTTATAAACTGGTTTACAAACAAGAACTGGTAATTTATCATCAGTGTGGGGAGTTTTAATGGGGATTGGGGTCATTATACAATGATGTAGCTGAAGGAAGGGGTTGGGTTGACACAAATCACAAATGAGTGGTCCTGATAAAATGACAGTTCCATTCTTCAAATATACTGCTCATCAAAAGTTTAGACTCACTAGTGTAAATATAGCCACTTACTTCAGGCAAATAAAATTTTGCAAAATATTCCATACTGTTTACACATGAACTGATGTATTGTAAAACAAATTCATAATGTTGAAAAGATTATTGTGATGAGTTCAGTAAATGATTAACTATCAGTGAAAATTAGCAAATTCTTAACAAAACCTTACACCAAAACGTATGCAGTTGGTTCCCCCAAGTTAGTGGAGAAATCAATCTTTGATGTAACCATATATATACACATAACATATAGTAAGTGTTTTAAGTGAGTTGAAACTCTTGAAGAGAAGTATATATAGATCATAAACATGAATATTATTTCAGAACTTGTCATTTATGGGGGTTGGGGGGGGGTGTGAGGGTGGGGGTGGTGAGGGTGAGGGTGTGGGGGTGGCGGTTGCAGAATGAAACAATCCTACATAACATTAGGAGGGTTGGCAAAATATGACACTAAAGCTATGATAATTATACCCTTCATAACTATATAGTCCCTAACTAACCAAAGACTGTCTGACTGACTGAGTTTGGTTTTATGCAGCTTTTAGCAATATTCCACCAACATCATGGCGGGGGACACCAGAAATGGGCTTCACACATTGTACCCATGTGGGGATTCGAACCCGGGTCTTCGGCGTGACGAGCCAACGCTTTAACCACTAGGCTACCCCACCACCCCACTAACCAAAGAGATAGCTGAAAGCACTGGGACTAATTAAACAAAGAGATAGCTGAAAGCACTATCCTTAAATATTATGGGGCTTAAAGTAAACTGACATGTTCAACATACAACCTTTTTCTTCCTCGCTCTATGTTTCAATATTTTACTTAATGACACTGAGTGTGTAAACCAGTAAAAAGAAAAGTCTGGCCTGTGACAAGCAACAACAAACACATGGTACTTCAAGAAATCCAAAGCTGAGCACACTACAGAACAGCTTGTTACCCACCTGGAGGTTCTCTGGACAAAACTCATGGCCGTAGATGTCGATGGCGGAGAGGAAGATGGACTCCATCTGGTTATGACGAAGCTCGTAAGGTGGCTGGTGGGCAGCAATCAGAACCTGGAAGACATTCTTGCGTTATTAGATGGTACTGGGTGGTTTGGCTTCAGTAGGTGTGTGTACGAGTGATGAGTGCATTTACAGAAGCACGTATATGGGATCAGATCGAAGTATTGAAGAGTTGACCAGACAATCCAGTTAGTGTCATTGTTAGCAATGATCAGGGGTGGAAATAACCCATTGCCCGACGTCCGAGTCCAGTGTTTTTTTCTGTCGGGCAAGCAAATTTGTATATCACACTGTACCGGTGTCCAGTTGACTTTCCAATGTTTATTATGTTGTTTATTTAAAAAATCAGCAAGAAAATGGTTGGTATAGTGGGAAAATAATCAGGACAAGTGACTTTTACATGTGCCACTGTACCGGAGTACATTAGCAATTTTAAACTTATTTCCACCCCTGAATGATCCCACCTGTCAGACTGCAATAACATTCCATCAAGTAAGTCACAGAACCTGAGCACGGGATCCCTGAAGTCGCCTAATATCACCAGCATAATAATAGGTGGCATGAGTATTTCACCCATGCTTCAGCAGGAACAGGCACCATAACCAACCTGAGTGGGTTTGAGGCTTCAGTATTTCATTTACACCAAGGTGTGTCAGCTAAATGTGGAAAGTCTGAAGTGACGCAGGTTTCGGAAGTTGCAGGTTTCGGAATCAGGGGAAAGAGTTATTTGTAGCCAGAACACGAGGTTTCTGGCATACCCAATGTCTTCAACTCTTCACAGCAAATTGCCGTACCTGAGTTTACTGGAAGGCCAATGAACCTTACAGACTAAAGACTATCAACCTCCTAGTCCACTATATCTCCAGGCTGGACGTTATTTATAATCTACTATAGTTCTACAGTTCCAGATAATTTTATTACCTCCCTTGGCTGGCCTCTTATGCAATCAGGTGTCTACACTGGGAAGTTGAGCAGACCAATCACAACTCACTTTCGCTTCTTAAATTATCTAACCGATTAAACTTGGCAACACAATTGATGCAGCAATACTCTGAAAGAGGTTGAAGGAGTTCTTGCATATATTTTTTTACAGTTTCAGACCTGTAAATTTGTCTGTATGATTTCCCCAAAAATCTGAGTCGCACTGCGAACAAACCTTCGCAGCTGCGGCTGCCATCTTTGTTGACACTGGCAAGTTCGGTTGTAACGGCGGCTTAGCTGATTGGCTACTGTGATAATGCAGAGCCAGCCAAGGGAGGTAATAAAATCATCGGGCCAAGCCGTAGATGCGTCCAGGGTCTAGTGGAGCGTTATCGTAACGTATACCCTGGATATTATCGAGGATGGTGCCTCACAGGCAGCTTGGGTTATCGGAGTTATAAATGTCCATCATGTTGTATGCTCTTAGAGCATGCCCTTTGTGGCGCTGTGGCGTAGAGTTCAGAGCTATATAAGTGGCCTTATTATATTATCATCATTAAAGACTCGGGTTAGTGTAGTAAATCAGAAGAGAAAAGTTACATCAACATGATTACCTGTCTGCCTCGGAGGGCAACCTTGGCATTTTCCTTCTTGTTGAGTTGTGTGAGGTCATTCAAGATGGATGCCATCTCATCTGTGACCCCTGGCTCCTTCCCACACAGGTGGTCCTGAAATCCAGCAACACATAGACGTACCGGGGATTTTTATTGGAAAAGTCAGCCAGTTTCAGGTAAAAACATAATTATTTTTTACTTCTCTACTTATTTCTTTCTCATGGGGTCACCAATCAGAGTTACCTCCCCTTCAACCTTCACTTTTAGCTTCAATATGTGTTTTCGAAGCTGATTTTGTTATCCTTAACATCAGACTAAATTATTGCTTCCATGGGACACAACTATTCTCAGCCAATCGCAGCATCTTAGACAACTGGGCCATAAAAGACACCTTTGACAAGGGATAGATATTCTTTTCAAACCCTGGCCTAGAGTACAATGTATGGGCGTCAAGGTACTCACAATGAGCATGATGACGAGGTTGTTCTTCTGCTGGACAGCAAGATGGGAGAAGATTGTGGCAACAACGGTGGCCATGTCATCTTTGTTCTTCTCTCGCAGCTGGTAGACACACTTGTCGTAGTGACCTGTCACACACATAGGGTCAGTGAACACACTTGGCCTGGCACACACACAGGGTCAGTGAACACACTTGGCCTGGCACACACATAGGGTCAGTGAACACACTTGGCCTGGCACACACATAGGGTCAGTGAACACACTTGGCCTGGCACACACATAGGGTCAGTGAACACACTTGGCCTGGCACACACATAGGGTCAGTGAACACACTTGGCCTGGCACACACATAGGGTCAGTGAACACACTTGGCCTGGCACACACATAGGGTCAGTGAACACACTTGGCCTGGCACACACATAGGGTCAGTGAACACACTTGGCCTGGCACACACACAGGGTCAGTGAACACACTTGGCCTGGCACACACACAGGGTCAGTGAACACACTTGGCCTGGCACACACATAGGGTCAGTGAACACACTTGGCCTGGCACACACATAGGGTCAGTGAACACACTTGGCCAGGCACACACATAGGGTCAGGCTTACCCTGCTGAAACTGTAGCTCTACCCTGAGGTACTGGCGGAGGAGATCCTGCACAACAGACTTGAGGTGACCTCGAATACCACTGCGATACCTCTGGACAAGCTGCACGATACCCTGAGTTGTCATGAAGAAAACATCTCTCTCTGTTCGTTTCGTCAGTGTAGCAGCATAGCTGTCAATAACGTTGGCAATCTGTAGAAGAAGTTGGCCCAGATTAGTTTGAAATATGATACAGAATTTCCAACACTACAATACTATCCAATATGATTTATTCCATGTATCATATCATTTGATTTGATTTGACTGTGAGTTGAGTGAGTGAGTGAGTGAGTGAGTGAGTGAGTGAGTGAGTGAGTGTGAGTGAGTGAGTGAGTGAGTGAGTGAGTGAGTGAGAGAGAGAGAGAGTGAGAGAGTGAGAGAGAGAGAGAGAGAGAGAGAGAGAGAGAGAGAGAGAGAGAGAGAGAGATACTGACCTGCTGACTAGGAAACTGACACAGGACGGACGTGATATTGCTTGCATAGGAAGCCATCAGCCTCCGCATCGACTTCTCCACTTTGGCAGGAATTCTCCCAGAGATCATGGAAATCAAGTCCTGGAAGAGAGGCAAACATTTCAAACCTGCCTCATTGCTGCTCTAACCACTTTGTGTGCCCACGAAGATGACAAGAAGAATTATGAGCATCTTGATCTACATAATCTCAAATTCACCTTTACATGAGTTTAAGCTTCATCAAGGAATGCAACAAAAGTATTTTCTTTATTAATGAAAGGATGCAGAATCCTTGCCCCCTTCGTCATTCCCATCATGATGTCAGCAGGTGCAACAAAAAATCTAATGATAAATATATATGCTGTAATTTGATCTAATGATAAATATATATGCTGTAATTTGAACAAAACCTTTCCGCACAACCACAAATTCATTTCAAGAGAAAATGAATGATTTTTTTACTCCCACACAGTAATATCTTGCAATATTCTAGCATTGTGACCTATAAAATCACAATGAACTTTAACATCACCATGACCATTAAGATCACAATGACCTTGCACATCATAGTGACCTATGACATCACTGTAACCTTTCACATCACAGTGATCTATGACATCACAATGACCTTGCACATCACAGTGACCTATGACATCACTGTAACCTTTCACATCACAGTGACCTATGACATCACAATGACCTTGCACATCACAGTGACCTATGACATCACTGTAACCTTTCACACCACAGTGACCTATGACATCACAATGACCTTGCACATCACAGTGACCCATGACATCACTGTAACCTTTCACATCACAGTGACCTATGACATCACTGTAACCTTTCACATCATAGTGACCTATGACATCACAATGACCTTGCACATCACTGTGACCTATGACATCACCTGTAACCAACACATAAGGCCAGGCACACTAGAGGTTGACAGCAACCTTCCATCATCAGCCTTCAACACAACTGTGGAGTATTGGGGATCTAATTAAAAATAAATGCACATAATTCAGATAATGCCTTCCCTAAGCTGTCAACAAATCAGTCGATATACCAAAACCAACTCTTCAGAGTCACAACCTACCTGCAGCTCAAGCAGCGGTAGAGAAGGTTCCTTTAGACATTTCATAATGCACTCCAAATTGGCCATCAGCCTCTCTTTGAAGTAAGGTTCGGGGAGAACGTATCCTGCCATGATGTTCTCCAGCTGTATGCGGGCCCGCTGGAACACCTGGTGGAGGCGGTCGCCATGCAGCGTAGGATTCTGGGGGGTCGGCAGTGTCCCGTAAACAACTGGGCCTGAAACATACAGCTACAACTGACAGGCAACAGAAACAGAAACATCTACAGGGTCATCTACAGGGTCATATTAATGTCGAACATGGCACTTTTGATCTCCAAGGTCTTACTGTTATAACAGCACATGTGTCAGTGTACATGTATGAGCAATAGTTCAGGCTAAAGCCAGGTTTATGGTTACTTGAGAAGGCATGAAACATTCTAAAATGTATTTCCCATATGCTGTGACTATGAACAAACCAGGCAAGCATAAGCCAGGGTAACAACTAACATATTTTCATAATAACTTGATTAAACTACCAACCGTCCAATTTCAGGACAGATGCTCTGTCTACTAAACCACAGTGTGCTCAAACTGAAGAGTACATTTGCATGACTCTTTTGGGTCCTCTACACTAAACCTAGCACCATTTTCAGTACCTCTTAATGTTATATAATCAACTTCCTTGACTAAAAGGAGCAGTGGGGTAGCCTAGTGGTTAAAGCTTTCGATTGTCACACTGAAAACCAAAGTTCATTTCCCGACATGGGTTCAATGTTTAAAGCCCATTTTGGTGTGCACCGCTGTGATATTGTTACAATATTGCTAAAAGCAGCGTAAACCTAAACTCTCTCACTCCTTGACTTAAACAGAGTGGACTTGGGTTTAAGGACAAGCAATTAAAGTCACAGACTGCTATGCACATACTTGTTGTACTCTGCTTGGGTCGTCCAGCTGCATGCGAGCCACAATCACACCTGGGTCCAGCACTGCTGCCTGACGCTTCACGTAGTGAATGCTGGGAGAAAAGAAAAGTCTCCATTACTTTGAAAAGAAGAGTGAGTGAGTGAGTTAAGATTTAAAGTCACATCGGCAATATTTCAGCCATATCGTGACTAAAACTAGTTCTAAATTCATAATGCATACATATAATATATACAAGCCTGTCAACGAAGGACAGTAAAACCACTAGATTATCACAGATTGAGTTAAAACTAGCTAGCATATATCTTTAAAAGTAGAAAGATATTTCTGGACAATACAATGTAAAATGGGCTATAGATCGCCAACAACTGAAGGCAGATCACCATACTAGGGACCATTGGGACTTACAGTGCCTTTGCTACCTGCATGGACCCTAGTTGGATTTAGACCATCCCTTCAGCCGCTGGCGATTGTAGGGCAAGTTTAGCCGAAATTTAAAGGAACAAATATACTACGTTTAAAAATAGGGTAAGCAAAAATTTAACTTTGAAAGTTTTGGGACTTACGTACCCTCTACTTTGAAAAGAAGAGGGAACAATTAGTTTTATCAGCACTCTCAACAGCTTATGAGAGTGACTTTTGGGATTTATGTGGATTCGAAGGTTATTTATCTACAATATCACATGTGTGTCAAGTTACCACCCACTTTGTGGTGCGTAGTTCGTTCTACAGACTTTAAATTACCGCTACATCTCTCTATCACATAGTTTGTTCTACATACAATTCATAACAGATAAAGGATGCACCACATGCATTGCAGCATTTTCAACCACATGCACATTGAGGCCAAGATCACAGAGATCTACACAGGCTTCAACTTACCATCCACTCTCGGTGGCACGTAGTTCCATCACCATCTTCATCACCTCAATCTCAGCGTACGCGTCCCCTGCAAACACGTGACCTCCATCCTCCACGATGTAGTTGATCAACTTGCCAGCAGATGGTGATCTAAATGGTTCAAAAACACTAATCATAACACTGTCAAAGCTTCCATGTTATTTCCACAAGCTCAATCGGCTAATCAACAACCTATGAATTAATACATCTCATTTGCCATGTGGTTGTTATGTTCGACCAATGAATCAATATGTGCTTAGACCAATAAGCACTCAGACTGACTGACTGACTGAGTTTGGTTTTACGCCGCTTTTAGCAATATTCCAGCAACATCGACGGCGGGGACACCAGAAATGGGCTTCACACATTGTACCCATGTGGGGATTCGAACCCAGGTCTTCGGCATGACGAGACAACGCTTTAACCACTAGGCTACCCCACCGCCCCAATAAGCACTCAGATTACATTTCCATAAATGACAGTATATTTCATGCAACACATGACAGACTTGCAACTATCAGACCAGCATACCACTTCAGTATCTGGCACTAGTTCACATAAAGTCTATGGTGGTACAGGCTTAGTCTACTTGTGGACTTTCAAACAGCCTCATTTCCTTAGCTTTCTACTGACTGACTGAGTGAGTTTGGTTTTACGCCGCTTTTAGCAATATTCCAGCAACATCACGGCAGGGGGAAACCAGAAATGGGCTTCACACATTGTGCCCAAGTTGGGATTCGAACCCGGGTCTTCGGCGTGATGAGCCAATGCTTTAACCATTAGGCTACCCCACCGCCCCCCTTAGCTTTTTAACAATATACACATCACTACTATGTCCATATACTGCATAAACTTGTTGAAAGCTCCTGGAACCCAATTGCAATCTTAATTCTGGATGGATGTGATTAGATTTTTCAAAATTCCACCCTTACTATCTGTAACATTGAACACTAAGTCTTGTCTGTAACTAACATGAATGGAATGAATTACAGCATGCCCTGTAAAATCCAACCATCCAACATTTCTAGTACTCAAGCTGTTACAATGTTCCATGACTTCCTGTTTACTCACGGGCCTGGTGGAGAGTTCAATTTTTTCATGTAATGATTCCTTGTGATGACATGGAGAGTGATAGACTGACTGACTGTGAATCCGATGACCTGGACCCCTGTCTTCAGAATGGTGTGATGTGTGATAGATGAGTGATTGTGTGCTACTGACCTGCGCTACTGACCTGAGCACTGTGGGGTCGTTCTCCCGGTGCAGGACACAGGTCTTGTTGCCGATGGTGACACGGTAGCTGCTGACTTGGTCCTTCATGTAGGTTGTGTGGCTGGACCCATCCACGGACAGAAGCAGGCCGCCATCAGACAGACTGAAACACACCAACAACATGAATTCTGTAATTAAAGTGTCATTGGAAGAAGGGCAGCAAATGAACTAGCATGTGCCTTTGTTAAATGCCATTACTAGCATGAAATATGCACAAAATTGTACTGAGAAGAGAAGAAAGTTTTCAGAGTTTGGAGATCTATGGAATATGTGCCAAACTGAACTGAGCAGCAACCTGGCAAATTGTGAAATATTTTCTTCCAGAACTGAATCTCAATGACAATCAATTCTCACCGATGTGCCTCGACATCCAAGACGGAGTTGTTCATGCACAGGAAGTAGCTGCTGATGCCGGTCTTGATCACCTGGAGAGACACAACAGGCCACACATTGGTCAAACAAGGTTAACAGTCACATTACCTTCTCACCCCACCGGGTACCCATTCACTGCTTGATGAACAGAGGCATATATCGAATATAATCAGGATTAAAGCCCTAAAACCATGAGCCAACCTGACAAGCAGTTCACACAGCCAACTACATACACTCTGCAACCAACATATGCTTAACTTCATCTGATAATGTATCCTGTTTGCTGTTCACAGGACCATGTGTCTGTGCAATGAAACACAATACACAACATTCCTCCAACACATGTAAATTCATACCCTGCAGTGTTGTCCCAAATACCATGTTCAATATGAGTCATCAGCTGACAGCTGAATTCAAAACACTACTTGGCTTAATTCTCAAAACCACCTGTGAGAACTTGTTCTCCTTAACAAAAACCTACAGATCTGAAATTATATGACTAAAACCATAAAATGGAACATGCTACATAAAAAAATACAAACTTATTATGTGAGTGAGTGAGTACATGCTTTTAGCAATATTCCAGCACACATCCGGGCCTAGGGGGACACCAGAAATGGGCTTCACACATTGTACCCATGTGGGGAATCGAACCGGGGATGAAAAGATACGCTTTAACCACTAGGCTACCCCAGCCCCAAACTTATTATGTACCAGGATGAAGCAGAACCTACCTGCAAGACGTACTTGACACCTTCCATAATGAACTCGACATCAGCAATGTTCTTTAAAGATGATGATGGCAAGATCTGGCCTCTGAAACAAAAAATACTCCTGTCTCATATATTTGAAATGGTTCCTAATGGCTGACAGCACAGAAAACCTGTGTAGCTGACCAACATGAACTTCAAAAGTTGGCATTAAACAACAGGAGGGAATTGTGTTTTGTTTGTTTGTTGTTTAATGCCACTCAGCAATATTCCAGCTATATGGTGGCAGTCTGTAAATACTCCAATCTGGACCAGACAATCCAGTGTTCAACAGCATAAGCATCAATCTAAGCATTTGGGATACAATGGCATGTGTCAACCAAGTCAGCAAGTCTGACCACCCTATTCCATTAGTCGCTTCTTACAAAGGTGAGGTGAGGTGAATTGGGTTTAACGTCGTGCTTGAGAATATTTCGCTCATATGACGACGTGCATGCGTGTGTATGTGTATGTGCGGCTGCTTGTACTAGCCCAGACTTAAGCTGGTTTTATAGTGCTAGCCCACTGAGATACCATGCCGCAGTGAAGCATGAATACCCCACTCAGACACATTAAACTGACTCCGAGCCGACCAGTCCTTGTTGTACCCATTAATGCCGAGAGCCAGGCAGGGACCAACAAGTACCATATTTTAACGTCTTTTGGTATGATGCTGTCGGGGATCGAACCCGCGACCTTCCGCTCTCCGGGCGGACGCTCTAACCACTACACCACGGAGGCAGTCTCTTACAAAGGAATTATGTACATGAAGGGAATCACAACCTTGAAAAAGTGGAAATACAAAGATGAAACGAAATGTATGTATGAAAACAGAAACTTATACACAGCAAAAAGGGGAATGATATCGATGAAGAAAGGAACTATATACAAGAACATGGGAATTATTTTGTTACTGTCACCAAGAACCAGGAACCAAAATGCACCTCTCCAGTGAAGTCTGGAAGTCCTGGAAGCTGCCAAGGATCCTCTGGTCGGCAATGTGCAATGCCCCACAGATGACCCCCAACATGGTGTCTGGCTTCTCAGCCTGAACCTTCTCCGAGATGAGTTTGTCCAGCCAGGCTGTGGTGATGGTGTTGCCTTGGAAGGACTCCGTCTCCAGCAGTTTGATGAGGTACTCCACCGTTGTGCGGAAATCTCCACGGATTGACAACTCCTTCAGGGCAACCACCAGATTCCTGGACAAATCACAAGGTCAAGGTCAGGTCTCATTGCAAAAGTTTCAAACTTGCGGTCAATGGAAAAACTTCAGAGTCTACTTGCCCAACATGGCTTGAAACCATTTCAGTAGATCCTAACCACAATAAGTATGAACAATTATTATTAGCTAGACTTATTTGACTCAAGCCATGGATTAGTGGCTTAAGTCACAGACTGGACCTATATGTAGACTGAATGACAAAGACAGAATCTGTAGAATTCCTTACAGATTGTAGCCTCCAATTTAACTCTGCTTCAAACAGTTACAACACAGAATGTCAGCTTCATGTGGGAGATAATAGTCATCCAATCCATGTAACTGTCTCTTTCAGCCAGCATACATTGCTGCTTACCTATTCTGATCCTAAATTTGCACAGAGGCAGGTTTAGCCAAGTGTTAACTGTTACTCACTCTCTAGCATCTTCTCGGTCCTCTCCCCAAGAGAAGCAGTGGCCGAACTGGGAGTCTGCAAACTCGTGAAGACCTCCAGATGCTGCCACACTGAAATATCCCCACACGTTCTTGTTGCTGCGGAAGTTGAGCTCCTGGACGGTACGGAGCTGGGCTTGAAGCCTTCATCAGGGTTCTCGCTGGTGATTCTGGCAGCAATCACATGACCTCTAGGATGGGGTTTAGCTCGTGGGCTCTCGAAGTCAATGGCTGTCTCTCCCCATGGGTCTTCGCCGTACAAAACACGGATGTCTTTGATACGATGAAGTGGCAGACCCATCGCAACCTGACAGAGAAGCAAACCAGGTGATTAGAAGCAGGTGAATCTGTACATGATACGCAGGCATCCAGTCAGTGAGTGAGTGAGTATATGAAGTACTAGGCCACTGTTAGCAGTGTGTCAATATCTAACCCTGGAATCATCTAGACTGATAAAGGAATATCAATGGCTGACATAACAAGCTACAATCCAGCCATTGTGATACATAGACACAAACAGCCAGGGATGACATATATGCACTCAGTACTTACTATAATCCAATTGTTCAACTTGGGTGATGGAGAATTCAACAACATGTACTGGCAAACAAGGAGAGGTTGAGCATCGACCTGACAATTATTAACATGTAATGAGTGCCACTCACTGGCTTGCCATTGTTAGCCCCAGGTTGTCCGCGATCAAGTTTAGTGCGATGGGTGAAGCAAGGCGCAAGGCGTGTGCAGCTATGCGCGGAATCAATTTCATCATCATGCAATGCACGTGCACTAGCCTACATCTGCTCTACCTTTCACAAACCAAATGGGTTTGCTCATTGCCATGCACCGCCAACTTCTCGTAAATGCGTTCTCTGCGCCGGTCCAACTTATCCTTGTTTGCCAGTAGTTTATCAAAGATCACTACTACACAGATCAACAAGTCAATGAGTTCCTTTGCCGACTCTGTATCAGAGCATAGACAGAAGGAAAGTGGCAATCTCTTAGGTTCTTAAATGCAAGATACAATTCAAGAAATAACAGATTCTTCTTCCAGCTATGATGTAAAATGTCCTGTTCCTTTTGAGTATCAAGCAGTAACAGAGAATCAGGGCCCTGTGACCTTAAATGAATACGGTCTGTATGAAAGAACATGAATTTAAACAGTCACAATCATTCGAGATAGAGGCACAAAGTATTAACATCTTGGTTGTGGACTAGCCTGTGACAAGCTCACCTGTAGCTGGGCGGCGGGGAGGTTGATGTCTGCCACCATCTCAGTGCAGGGATGCTCCACCTGCAGTCTGGGGTTCAGCTCCAGGAAGAAGAACTCATCCTGTTCCGCATTGTACAGGTACTCCACGGTGCCGGCACTCACATAGCCAACCATCTTGGCCAGCGTCACAGCAGCCTGCAATGCCAAGATTAAACATCACTCAGCAATATTCCAGCTATGTGGCAGCGGTCTGACAAATCCGGCAATTCGCCAGCGGTTCGATAGAAGACCAGACAATCCACCGATCCCCAGTGTCTGACTGTATATTTCACAATGACTTTGACTGAAATTGTTATATGTGACATGTGACACTTGTTTGCTGTTTATAAATCTTATGTTTGTTGATAATTTCAATGCCAATTAGTGAAATGTTAAAACTGACAAATGTCGCGTTTAATTTTATTCTGTGGATCCTGTGAATTTTCAATGGGTCAGACAGACATCTGAAACTTACAGGACCCAATGTGCCTGTTTAAGAATTGGTGACACCATTAAGTGAACACTGATCACTCAGCAATATTCCAGCTATGTGGCAGCGGTCTGTAAACAATCAAGTCTGGACCAGACAATCAAGTGATCAACACCATGAACATCGATCTACACAACATCTGTCAACAAAGCCAGAGAGCCTGACCACCCAATCCCGTTAGTCGCCTCTTACGACAAGCATGAGTGCCCCAAGGTGTTATTGACGAACAGGGCCTCTTTCCACAAAGCACTGAGGTGATCGTAAGTCACGAAGGTAACATTAGTGCAGTGTTTAAGAATGGGAGTTAAGGTTAACCTTAGTAAAGCTTACTTCGTGAAAGGAGCCCCAGTTCTAGAGTTTCTAGCAATTACATGGTACTCAACTTTAAGATTCATGACAACACATTTACAGTATAATATACAACAGCTAATTACCTTCTCCATTCTCTCAAAGATGTCAGATTTTGCAATGACAACTGGTGCTTCCTCGATGATCTTTGGTGCCTCCGCTGTATGGAACAGTCCCGGCCAAACAGTGAGATGGCGTTACCATAATTGTCTGCCAGAAGTTGGACCTCAAGATGCCGGGCAGCAGACGCCAACTTCATGATGAAAATTGGGGAACCTGGAACCTCTGCTTGCACCTGCAGTCATCAGGTAAGTGAAGAAAATTAAAAAATTATTCCAATTATATGACAGTGTGTCCGCTTAATATGGGAGGAAAGCCCAAAGGATGCGCGATAAACCTGTGAGCATGGTGCTAACTAACTTATTAACATGATAAGTGTCAAGGGGTCAACCCATTTATCATGCACTTGGCTTCAGCTTATTAAATGAGTTTGTATTTTTAGGGAGTATGATGGGCAGGGAGTCTATTTTTGCTCTGGTGATATACAACAACATTCATGGTCATTAAAACTACAGTGAAAACCTGGCAACACCGGCACCTGTCTAATCCGGCACACTGTAAAAACCGGCATAAAACTTTGGTCCCGCCATTTTACAACGATATTATGATCATTAAAACATTGTCTAATCCGGCACCTGTCTATTCCGTATTCAAGCACGACTTGACTGTAATTACCACTGTCTAAACCAGCCTGGGTATGAGCAGTCCAATCAAGGACCCATAATCCAATACACTAATTACACTGTAATCCTCTTGGCACGCTAGATAATCAGGAAGTAGTGATTGTACGGTGAATCAAACGCTCTAAGCAGGCATGGGTATGAGATAAAGAGATTGATGAGCCTAAATGGCAGCCATATTGGAAAATGATTGTCACTGTCAAATCCGGCACCCTGTCTAAACCGACATTTTATTTCGGTCCGTTGAGTGCCGGTTTAGACAGGTTTCACTGTATATGGAAATCTGGACACAGATGAAATCAAGCGAGCTAATTATGGTTTGGAACCTATTTTTTCGTCCAGATTATGATCCTGTTTTTGCTAGCACCAAAGTCCTGCTTACGGGTTGCCCCAAGGTTGTTGATGTCTGCAACCAACATCACTTCAGCTTTGCTCCCACTAAAGGCTAACACAAATCTGAATAAACCCTACAGTAACCCAAAGCCCTGAGACAACTCAAAGTGATTTAACTGCATCTCACCTGTCTGAAGAGATTTGGGAAGTCATCTGCATTGTCAGCTCTCCTGATGCCCTTGCCTCCACCACCCTCCGAAGCCTTGATCATAACAGGGAAGCCGATGACATTGGCCGACTTGAGGCCAGACTCCACGTCTGGTGTGCAGCCCTTCTTGTAGAGGTCGTTGGGTACAACCACCTGCCTGAGCTTGGACATGTCCTTCTCCGCAATCTTCAGCAAGACACCTGAGCCACTCCAGGGTAGGGTGGGCACTCCAGCTGTCTGGGCCACAATGGAGGAGGCGATCTTGTCTCCCAAAGACCACATAGCCATCTCCGGGGGACCTGTCACATACATACATTTATATCGGCAAAACAGTCAAAAACATTTCGTTGCCAGTTGTTAGGGCTAAAAGTAAGTTTGAGTCTTGTAAGATGACCTAATTATAAATAATTGATAAATTAATCGTAAATTTAAAGACAGTACTGTAAATACAATCATGTTTAGGAATGATTACTGTTTGATGAACTAACACTTTCACCACTACCGTAACAAAAAATTCCCTGATATAAAATTAACTAATTTGTATGCCCTTTAGAAGCCCTTGCTTTCTTACCTCATCTTGGCACTGCACTTGTAAAAAATACTATGGATAAGTTCATATAATTATATAGTTTCTGGGACTGATTTATCAAGCATTTATCACCTGTAAATTAATCGTAATTCAACACAAACTTATGTACACCTGGCACTACAGACACAATGCTGACAAACCCACCTATGAATGCGATCCCATTTTTGTGGAGTAAGTCTGGAAGCTTGGGGTTTTCAGAGGCATGGCCCCATCCTGCCCACACAGCCTAGAGGAGAGAATCAGGTGATTAGAAAACACTATGTGAAATACAACCAGAATGGAATCCGGGGTTTTAGTGTGCACGCAGTATGCACAAATATACGGAACTGAAGCAGAAAAATAAGGCATACTGCATCCCGGAGCACTTACAATAATCGCCATAGTAACAATTCCTGACAAGAAACGAAGTTCCTGTAACTAAAGTAATTACTAAATCTGACAATACAGTACAGAACTGTAGACTAAACCATTCATTACCTTACCGGCATTTGGATTTCACTGGACCTATAGTTTTGTATGACAAAGTAAAACTAAGTTGTTCTATAATTGAATTGATCAATATTGCTGTCATGTTATACAGTCGAGCACCGTTGTATCGAACTCTGATAACTCGGTTGTCTCGATATAATATCTCGGTCCTGGCAAAATCCTTCATAATTTATCATTATTCAAGCTCTTTTAACTCGATACGGATGTCTCGATAATTCAGATATCTCGATATAATTTCATGGTCCCAACAAGCAAAATTACCCTTTAACTCGATATCTGCAAAGAAACTCAATATTAACCTACCTTTGTTGGGCAAGTATCCCTCTGAACTGAGATTGTTTCCACATGTTTACGGTGCGGCATGAATCAAAGGGATGCGGTAGTGTAAACTAATTAGGGTTAATTGAGTTGAAGGTGTCACTTGTTTGGTATTTAATTTGGAAGTACTCACTGTTACGACTAAACACTACCGATAACGGATTATAGTTTCGAATCAAAACATTTCTTCCATAGTGATAAGTGATGATATTCCCAACAACGGTGCTCGACTGTACTAGATTTCATCACACAAAAAGGGTAAATGTATCCAGATATACTCAGATGCGTTCCCTTACTTTGATCAATCAGTATATTTGTGATCTCTGGCTATGAGAGTAGTGTCCCTTGCCTCACCTGAACCTGTGTTCTCTTCGAGATGTCGAGGATGAGTTCCACATTGGCGTAGTTGTTGTTGTTGGTGCCACCAGACACAGGTATGTACTGGTCTGCCATTCGGATGTATTCTGGAATGGTGCATCAGCTATTAGCATCATACGTAGGTGTCATGACACAGAAGGTTTCTACTGCTCATCCATTCGCTATGGTGCATAAGTACTTGAGTCTATTTGGTTTAATGTTGCATCGAACAGCATTTCAGTAGTCTGTCTCACAGTACCTGAACCACATTATTTTCCTAATACCTAGCTGTCCCTGCAATGCTAAAGCCTAAATGAAGCAAGTCTAGATTTCCCCCTGTTCAGGAATCTCCCAACTCACTGGGGCTCCTTTTCAATTTAAATGGGTTTATTTGTTACTATCAAAATTATATACATTCAAGGACTAAGCGTTTCAGTTATAGGTCAAATTATAAATGATCACATCAAGTGATCTATATAGAACAATAATCCACACTGTCTGGGTATGGTATGGTATTATTTCGAGGAAATATGTTATCATAATGTTACACAGTATATCATTACATTGTTACATCGCTATACTTATTAAATATCATTCATATGCTAAGTAAGACCTATATATAGGCTCAGAGGTATGCATACCAGCATTAGCCTTGAGATCTTCTGGTGTGACCATTACCACGAAACGAATGGCCCGCTCATTCCGGAACATCTCGTACGCCCACCTCCGTACAGATCTCATACACTTCACAGCAGCAATACCATTGTTGGCAATCAGAACCTGCAGCACAGACAAGACATTTTACAGCAGCAATTCTCCACAATGACATAGGAACAAGGTACTGGAGGTTTATTTTGCACCTAAATCCTAGGAGAGAGACACACAATTTGTACTGGGGAGGACGGAGGGAGGGAAGGAGAGAGGGAGGGAGGGAGGGTAAGGGGGGAGAGAGGGAGGAGGAAGGAGCTGGAGGAGGGGAGGGAGGGAGGGAGGAGGGAAAGGAAGGAGAGGGAGAGGGAGGAGAGGGAGGGAGAGGAGGGGAGGATGGGGAGGAGGGGGAGAGAGAGGGAGAGGGAGGGAGGGAGGGGGGAGGAAGAGGGGAGGGGGGAGGGAGGGGAGGGAAGAGGAGAGATGGGGAGGGAGGGAGGATGGATGGGATGGGGAGAGGGACGGATGGGGGAAGAAGGAAAGGGGAGAGGAAGGAGGGATGGAAAAGAGGGAGAGGGAGAGGAGGGAGGGAGGGGGAAGGGAGAGATAAGGGATGGTGAGGAAGGCAGGGATGGTGGAGGAGGGAAGGGAGAGAGGAGGGGGATGTTGAGGGAGGGAGGGAGGGAGAGAGAGAGGGGAAAGGAGAGGATGGGCAAGTGAGGAGGAACGGAGGGAGAGAGAGGGATGGGAGAGGGAGAGAGGGAGAGGGAGGGATGGGGGAGGGAGGGAGGGAGAGGGAGGAGGAGGAAGGAGAGGAGAGGAGGGAGGAGGGAGGGTGAAGGAGAGATAGAGGGAAGGAAGGGAGAGAGGAGGAGCGGAGGAGGGAAAGGTGGGGAGGGATGAGGGAGGAGAGGAGGGAGGGGAGGGGGGAGGAGGATAAGGAGGAGAGGGAGAGGAAGGGAGGGATGGGGAGAAGGGGTAGGGAGAGGAAGGAGGGAGAGGGAGAGGAGGAGGGAGGGGAGGAAGGTGAGAGAGGGAGGGGGAGAAGGGAGAGAGGAGGGAGACGGATGGGTGGGAGAGAGGTGGTCCAGTATAGAGAGAGGTGAAATAGGGGTGTGCAGGGGGAAGTGACCTAATCCTCCCACAAACACCTAACCAATGAGACTGACCTTGTTAATGACTCGGTTGCCACCAAAGCGCTTCACATACTCCTCCGGTGTGGCAACACAGAAGTCTTTCAAATACTGCCTCTTCCCCCGCGTCGTGTCCAGAGTGATCCCGGACATTGTATGCCTGAAAACAGCAGCATTGTCAACAGTGTTCTACCCTCCCTCACAACATCACCACAACCTCAACGTCCTAACAATACCAGCTGGACGATATCCAAATCACACACCAACACCAAGAGCAAGTACGTAACAAGTTTCATGTCACATGGCACCAACTGACCATGTGGATTAAGATTAGTAATGTTGTAAGCAGGTCAAAGATTTAACGCAATACACTATGTGTAGAATATCTACCATGACAAACAATATTTACTTCTCAGCATGAGTAGACAAATGCACACTGCAAGAAGGGAATATAGGAATATTCTAACCTGAAAAACACCGACAACTCTAAACACTCAGTGTATATCACATATATACCACCATAGCCACACCCATCCTGCGACAACTACTACAGGGGGCTCCAATTAATCAGGCTTGCCACTGTAATGTTGAGTAGTCGATAGACACACAACTAATGTCAACCAATGTATATCAGCAACTGCTAAATTCCACTCCATGTTATCAATACTCAGTTGACAATATAACCCTTGAAAAAACAAACAGTGACCTTCAGAAAGAGAAACTGCAGGCATTAGCCAAATTATGCCTACTTTATTCAGCCTGTTAAGTCCCTTCAGATAACAATCTTATCATCCTTACACAAGCATGAGTAGAAGTCTTATTTTTGAAGAATTTCATATCATAGACATGATAAACAGAAACAATACAATCAATAACATTCAGTAAAGTATAGGCTTAGTTAATATGAGGAACATGGCATCGTGGCCTCGCATAACATGAAATCAAAGTAACCATGGCAACAGGTCTTTCATATTATCCAGCTTTGATAAGTTTACAGCGTTTAATTGTGTGATAAACATATTGTGTTTTTTTCTGTATTAGCCTGGTAAAATGTACACCTGACCAAGCTATATACTGAAGCATAGTATGCAATACTGATTCTACCTTGACACAATAAACTCTGGTGTATTAACACAGATACCGAGGGATTAGCCGAGTAAGTGGTAGGGCTGGGATTCCGATAGGGTAACCTGGATACCCGGGACGGATGGGTAATGCGTTGGACCAGGGTACCCGTCTCAATACCTGGACCCATAATGATCGATCATGTGACTAATAGATTAAACAAAGTAACATGTTGTTCTTTCATGATTGTATTGTCTTTGAAGATTTAGACATACTTTACAGTCACTTCTTTTGAATATAATACATGGTTAAGATTTTGAACAAATCGAAATTTTAGCCTCCGAGCTGAAGAATATATTGCCATTTCTAGCAAATTTAATGTCAGGAATAAACATTATGGGTATCGGGTAGGGTAGGGTAATAGGGGGTAGGGTACCTGGGTAGAAAATTTGGACCCGTCCCAGCCCCAGTAAGTGGTCAGTTGGTTGTTGTTAAATGCCACACTCAGCAGTATTCTGACTATAATCAAGTCTGGACCAGACAATCCAGTGATCAACAGCATGAGCATTGATCTATGCAACTTTGATATGATGACATGTGTCAACCAAGACTGCGAGTCTGAGCACCTGATCCCGTTAGTCACCTGTTATGACAAGCATGGGTTGCTGAAGATCAATTCTAACCCCGATCTTCATGGGTTAGCCAAGTAAGTGATTTGGGTATGATGTCACTTAAAATAGTATTTCCATATTATCATGGTATTACAGTTAAAATGTGAAGATAGCCTGAACTAAAGGAAGTCTCATTTAAAACCAATTTGCTGAAACCCGATAGCACAGGTATAGTGCTGAAAAACCAAGAATGATAATTGCTGTGAACCAGTATTCGAACCCCAGATCATAGGATTCTGGCATACCTAAGGGACATAACTCTCTGCACAATGAATCATGGTCCCTTTGAGAAATGGGCCATGTTCTTTCAAATGTAAAATTTAGCACACTGAGTAGCACTTAGTTAAAAAAAGCAACAAGCAAACAAACTTTCAAATTGGTAAACTTCAGAAATTAGAAAAGAATGTAACATTCAACAAATATTTCATCACCTTCTCACAAATGATTGTTAATAATACAGTTACACAATTTATCCTTTAAAATATGCTTTCAGAAATTATCTCACTTGGATAAAGCAATATCTTCTTGGAGTGAGTGAGTGAGTTTAGTTTTACGCCGCACTAAGCAATATCCAGCTATATGGCAGCGGTCTGTAAATAATCGAGTCTGGACCTGACAATTCAGTGATCAACAGCATGAGCATCAATCTGCACAATTGGGAACCAATGACATGTCTCAACCAAGTCAGCGAGCCTGACCACCCGATCCTGTTAGTCGCCTCTTACGACAAGCATGGGTTACTGAAGATCAATATTCTAACCTGGACCTTCACAGGTATATCTTCTTGGAGACTGCTACAATAGAATTACATCACAATTTGAGGAACCATTGTACTGCTATCATCTAATTATGACATCACAATCAATATGTCATCACAATCAATATCACTAATCTCTCTGCCACGAAGATGCACAGCTGTGCCCTTTTTACATAAGACACTGGTCTTAATAACTGAAATATTTTGATGAACAACTTTTTGTTATAACAAATAGAATCTCACCCTCATCTGTGGATATCAGATATATCAATGCTCGCGGATTGAATCTTATAATAAACTCCAAGCCTAATTTTTAACATTTATCTATCAGTGTTGTATTATTTGACATGGAAGCACAAATTGGTGAGAATCTCAATACATTCATATTCACATCTTTACCCCCGATAAAAAGGGCCATTAGCCAAATCTTACCATGTACTTGGTCAGTCTGAGAAACAGAAATTGTTGATCCAACAGTTCAGGACCTTAACCTTTACCCAAGCAGCTTGCAGCTGGGTGAGGCAGCCTCTATCATCAACCTGCTTATCGGGCAGGAAGTTTTGACCACTGACCAGCACTGACCGATACAGATGCTATTAATTTTCCCGAACTTACCTTCAGTACTTCTAGCCCTTATGACACCTTAAGTACTTCTAGCGCTAAATTCTAGCCCTATCACATTGCATGCATAGTATGGTGTCTTGGTGATAGGTACATTTCAACCTGTCCTGAGGATTCCCAGCTTGTGACAGCATGGTTGTTTATCATCCACTTTATGATGATGTAGATGTCATATTGATACTTCAGGCTAACGTGAAGATATGAGAAACCAACATGGTCCCATAACACAAAGTGACCCATGCTCTACAATTCATTTAAGTCTATGTTAAATGTTATTAAAATTATTTTACATATTTTCGGTTTACAAAGATGATTATTAAATAACATTGAGTTTCTATTATCTATTGTCTTTTCATTTTTTTTTACACATTTTAGGTTTCTTTTGAGAGTCAGCTGAACATTAACTTAGAAAATGTCTGGCCTAAAATGTACTTTCACAATTAAGATATTTAAAAGACAACTGATACAGGAAGATAGTCATTTATACTGCTCTAGGCACAAAAAGTGCAAAACACCTCAAAATATCCGAAAAAAAGAAACATATATCCCAAAACTTCTGCGTACATGTGGGGGTAAGTGAGTGAGTGAATGAGTATGGTTTTATGCCAGTTTTAGCAATATTCCAGCAATATTATGGGAGGGGACACCAAAAATGGACTTCGCACATTGTACCCATGTGGGATTCAACACAGATCTTCATTATGACGACCGAAAACTTTAACAAAACACTACTCCACTGCCCTGAGTACATATGGAACGCAATGAGAGAGAGTTTATACTTACACAGCTATGAACACCATTTCCACTAAATGTCGGGAAGGTCAGTCTTACTAATCTTAATTTTGGGGTTGAACCACATGATACCCTCGAAGGTTTGCTTTCAAAGACGTGACCTAAAGATTGTACTTATCAAAAGACAGAACTTTGTATTAGACACCAATGTTATTTGACATCACATTTTCAAAAATCTTAAACCAATTCCATGACAAAATAGTAAAACATTTACACTATTGATGCATGTGCTGTGCTTCTTTAACAAACAATATAAGCAGTTCTTTAACCCCTAATAGTGGATGCAGTAATGCATAGACCTTTCTAAAAGTTGTTCCAGCTAGATGACCTCATTTGCATATTAATCAAAAAGTTTATAAAAATAGTTTATCACATGGATAAGACAATGATTCAGTAGATAATGAATGTTATCCTTGAGTGTACTACATAAGCATGTGATACAACCAGGCAGAAATCACCAGATAGGGAGAATTAACAAATACTTCACCACCTTTTGAAAGTAATACATGTTTGTTTGTTTTTAGGGATTACACTTTCTCAACAATGTCCACCTTGTAGTACTTTGTTTGGTTGCGTCCCATCCGAGATTCGAACCCACACTGAGACACCTAATCGGCACCACACACTGTTCTGTAATCCTAAATATAACATGTGTTACATTTTACCTGTTTCTACCTGTTTCTATATAGTATTGTGGATTCAGAATAATAATTTGAAAGGGAATTTTTGGTTTTATTTATTCCACACAATGGTCACTAAATATGACTATTATCTTGAAGATGCTGAACAATTAGCATTTAATAGTGTCATAGAAAGGCTTGTAGTATTTCATGGCACAATAATCAAACAAATTTTCAGGTTCATTTCAACTTATTTCCAAAAGTTGTTTGGGCGGTGGGGTAGTTTAGTGGTTAAGGTCTTCACATGTCCTGGCAAATGTGTGGTATTGTGACATTGATGTTCCCCGCTGTAATACTGATGGAATATTGCTACAAGCGGCATAAAACCATATTTACTCACTGAGTTATATAAGAATGTTATATCTCCATCTGTCACACAGTGTATATATGGTGTTATCTTGCCATGACCTATCGGATAAACCCTGTATCACAATGTGATAAAAATCCAGATGAGGTCACATGGTAGGGACTGCCATCAAACTGCTTCACATGTATGAGTGAGTGAAGTTGGTTTTATGCTGCTTTTAGGCATATTATTTCAGTAGTATCACGGAGGAGGGCACTAGAATTGGAC